AGCTATTAAGTCGGGCACCCTGTGAGCAATTAGATCAAAGTTGTCATGTGCCACCAAAAGCTACAGCGTTCACAGCATGCGTATGCTATATCAAGGTCATATGTAAGGCTTTGTAATTCCCCTTCGAGGTATCCTCTGATCTGCATGTCGAGGTAAGTGCGGATAAAGAGCTACGAGCAGGTGGCAATGATACGTTTTTTTAATATCATATCTCACAGCCTGTGTCTGAGACCGCTGTTTGAAGCACATTGTTAACAGTGTCATCATTTCATCAGGCATCTAGCTTAGAGCGTCAGGCTCTCAGAAGTTTGATGATTTAATGTGTATTATCAGTTTGAATCCAAAAATCACGTGACTGGTCAGTATGCCTCTGTTGCAGAAGAAAACAACAGATGTTGAAATTCAGTGAACACAACCTGTTATTTGCCAGACTTTACTGTGTTGCCAGCATGAGGGCTGACGTGACAAACACATGGTGTATTTTAGGGTTTAATGTCACTAAAATTTGTTAAATTAAACATTTTTTCTCCCTTGTATTTTCCGTCAGTATTTTCAAACACTGATTAAAAAAAAAAAAAAGGCACAAAGATCTTCAAATGTTAATCTTCTAAAATGATTGGTTTGCTATTTGGGAAGCACGTTGTAGTGGAAAGCATAGACTTAAATTACGGAAATCAGAGCAGGAAATCATTCTTTATTTGGGGTGTAGAAGAAGAAGAGTCAAACAGCCAAACAAAGTCCAAAAATCCAAATGTAGGCGGGACACATCCAAGCAGGCAAGCACTCAGTATGACACAACAGAGAATGCAAGGAGGCAGAGGGTTTAAATATAAAGAGGAGATGAGGGCAGGGTGGAAACACCCGATGAGCTACACACAGCTGAACTAAATCTGATAACAACATAGATAAGGTAACTTAGAATAAGATCAAACCAAATAACCTAAAGAACATGACTAACTGAAGACAAGAACAAAGCTAAGAACACCAGGCCAAAACCCACGACTGTGACAGCTGCCTAATTAGAAGACAGAAGTTGATGCCACTCTCATGTCCATCTGCTAAATAAGAGGAAGCCTATTTGCTTTGCTTTGCTTAGCTATAGACAAAGATGTTAAACACAGAAACTGTTATCCTGGCTTTGTCTACAAGTTAAAAGAAAACACTTAATGCTTGGAAAAATATTAAAAAATAAGTATTCTTTGTAGTGGTGGTTATGGCAATTTACAGTTAGTTTCTATGAGCCGTCTGGGATCCTCACAGTGACAACGATAAATCTGGGAAAGAAAACAAAAAACTGTATTTCCCAGTCAGTTAGACCATTGCATTTTCTTTCTTTTCTTTAAGTAGAGTACCTAAAGTACTGGGAAGTCCAGTACGACATATTTATCTTCACGTGAGCAGTATTCTATGAAATTTACATAGGCCATGATATACCTGTAACCTAAAGCACTGAGGAAGGAAATAATGTTACAGTAAATGTCTTTGTCGTGATTTAAGAGGAGAGCTGCCAGATAACTAATCATTTTGTAAGAATCTTCAAAATCCCCAAAGTGCTCTGGATCTACAATAATCCTGCACCACTAACTACCCTCGACACACACACACACACACCCTCCCCCAGTTGCACTTTTTTATTGTTATGATCATGCTTGTTGGCCCCAGTTATATCAACCGTCATATACTACCTCAGTCTGCCGTAAGCTATTTCCCTGCAGCCCTGTGATTTAACTGTGGGTTAAACATTTATTTAGCCGAAAAGGTTATAGAGGAATTTACATTATTCATCCACTTTAAGATTAAGAGTACATTAAACTATATAACTCTTCCAGCCCCTGCTCTCGGAAACGGTTCAGAATATTAAATCCCAGTCCATTTTCCAAGACATAACCTTTACATGAATTTTATTGTTATGACTGGCGAAAATACTTCTACTAAAGCCATGATTCATTAGGAATTTGTGCCCCTTAAATATCTTCCAAATAAAGAAGTGTTTCAGGTTTGATTCTTGGTGGAAGACATGGTGGGGAAAAATAGAAAAACCTTACAAATGACAGAAAAAAAGCCTATAGAAGCTAAGAAATAAAATTTTCATTAGCTTTATCTACGTTTGAGTGCATCTCTCACTAATATTTTACTGTCAGCAGCTTCCCATTTGTATCACGAGTAGTCCACACACCTGAGGACATTATCTAACTTGGTTTAAAATGGTTAATTTACTTCTTTTAAAAAAAAGAAATGTATAACAAGAAAGGGGATGGTTAGTCACCTCACAGTTCAGGCCATTAAAGCCAAAAGTTTCACATATCAGTAAACCAGCAACTTTCCTGGCTTCTGCTTCACTCTGTAAATGTAATCTGTTATCCGATGCAGGCAAAGAAGCGATTCCCTCAACAGTGGGCACTCATATCAGACGAGTTCCTGTTGGGAAATCTGGAGCGATGTATAAAAATTTCCATCTATGACGTAAAGTGTCAATATAGCTGGCTGGGAATGTTGGTGAGCCCTTGATGAAAGTGGAGGAGCACCGCAGGGTATCTGAACATCAAAGGCAGGCAGGAACATCCCATCATTGTACCCGGGCATGCACCTCTGCAAACTGATTTTCTTTACCAGTCACAGGCCCACGCCCCAAGACTACCGATGCCTCATATCATAATCAGGACAGAGAAATCAGCTTGCTGCACTAACTTGCAAAGTCTTCAGATCTTAATTGTGCATTTATAAGCATGGCGTGGTACAAACTGCAGCAGAAAGCTGACACTGCGAATGCTGTTCTAAGAACAAACAGAAGAGTCACGTCAGTGTTTAAAAGGTCTTCACACGCACACCTAGCAAACACCATGAGTCTTTCTGACATCCTCGACTATGCACGGCTTACTTTACATCATCACCCCTATGGCAAAGCCTGCTTGATGATGCTTCAGTGGAACTTCAATGTAAAATCCTTCTGGCAAATATTTCTAATCCATACACAAATCCCAGGCTTAAATATTAAAGTGCATGCTTAACCTCGGGATGAAATCAAACCAATTCATGTCACTCATGTGCTTGCGGGTTGATTGTTATGAGGCTTCTTCATACATTCCTTATCGAGTATTCTGTGATCTCTGCCTCGCTCCCTTGCTGATCACCTCTACTGTGATACCACAGTTATCTCCTCTCTTCCCAGTAGTATCAGTATCAGCAGGACACTAATGAATTTCTCCTTCGTATAGTTTGTTTTGTTATTGTAATTTGTTCAATTTGTCTTCCTTAAAAGACTTCACAGACACTATTTTCCGCTGTTTTCTAGAAATGTAGTCTTGTTGACAAATGCACACACTTTTTCATGCATGGAAAATTGAGTTCTTTGTAGGGGAACAGGGTTTGTTTCTCTCAAATGCCTCAATTTTCACATGCATTTTGTAGAACTTGCGCTCTCTCTATTGTGCATAAATGGTCAATCATCCAAATTGCTGAAATCCAAAGAATTGTGAAAAAAAATTTAAAAATAAATAAAGAACAAAGAACACCTGTTATACATTTTGTATGCAAAGCCAAGTACACTGAAATGCATTTTCCTTTTTGTGCCCATTCCAGAGGAAATTTGTAAGAAGCAACACACACAAAAAGATTTGGATCAGTAGAGACAAAGAGACCTTTAAAATCCAGCAGTTTTTTTTTATTTTTTTATTTTAAGCACTGTTTGAAAGTGTAAGACTGCATTTATTGATCACACTGACACATGGCAGACTTCAAAGCTCTAGAGCACAGGTGTCAAACTCCAGGCCTCGAGGCCGGTGTCCTGCGGGTTTTAGATGTGTCCTTGATACATCACAGCTGACCTCCTCAACATATCTTGAAGTTCTCCGGAGGCCTGGTAATGAACTAATCATGTGATTCATGTGTGTTGACCCAGGGTGAGATCTAAAACCTGCAGGACAGCGGCCATCAAGGCCTGGAGTTCGACACCCTTGATCTATCTACTCTATGCAGTCCTCAAACTAAGTACACCCAATGATTCAACAGCACGTAGAACCACGTAACTGTTTTCTGTATGACTTTATCAGTCGCTCACATCACTGTGAAGGAATTTTGTCGGAAGTTTCTTTATAATGCTGCCTCCGTTCTCAGTTTCTCTCATAGTATTTCGACTGGGCTGAGGTCTGAACTTTGACTGAGGCACTGAAACACCTTCATTCTTTTCTTTTTCTCTTGGAGATTTGTTGTTGTGCTTGAGATCATTGTTCTGTTGTATGACCTCGTTTCACCAAGCTTCACATTTGACTGTACAATACTTTGATATACAGAGGAGTTCATGGCTGACTCAATGACTGCAAGCTGCTCAGGTCCTGTGGCTGCAAAACAAGCCCAAGACAACGTCTTGATGATATGGTGTTTGCTTTTCATCAATGGTGCTTAGCATTATCGCCAAACATCTCTGCTGTGGTCTCATCAGTCAAAGAAACATTATTCTAGGAGTCCTGTTCGTTCAGAGGCAACCTCACAAATCTAAGCTCTCATGCCATGTTAAGAGAGAAGAGGCTGTCTCCTAAACAAACTTCAACACAAGCCATACTTCAGTTTATTTCCAATTCTACTGTCATGAACTTTGAAATTTAACACAGTAACTGAAGCAGGTGGGGTTTGAGATCTAGCTCTTGGGTGTTTTGCAGTTTTTCTGAGCATTGCATGGTCTGATGAAAGATGTAATCCACTCCTGGCATTGTTTTAATACACAAACCTGAATGCTCCAGTCCAACAAATTACCAAAGTTTGCGCTTTTATAGAGGTGCTCACACTTCCAGGTAACCAATTCATCAAGTGTATTTGACTAGCAACACCTGGCTGTTACTTACCTCCTTACTTCCTATTGAATCAGGAAGTGTGCTTATTAAAACTTTCTTTACAAAGCAAATAAACTGCAGTTTAACAGAACCAAGCAAATCAGAAATAAGAATCATCAACACATGTTCATTATTTTATATTTTATATATAAATTAACGATTTATACATTGCTGATAAAGAAAAAATACAAATTTTTTTGATCTTACATGACATTTACATGTGAAATTTTACACAACATATTCAATAACTTACAAATGCTTTAATTGCATAAAAAATATATCTCTTTACAAAAGTTTTGTTATATGTACATGTTCTTATTCACAGGTTTTTGAACGGGATAACAACTGTGTGGTACATTTAAAAGCATTCTACTCTACTCCGGAGTCTCTGGGTGTAAGACTGACCGTATACTGTTTTGACCAGATGCATTTCTTTTTTTTTTCATCCATAAGAAATGTGAAACTTGCAAAATATAGTACATATCGATAACACAAGACATCTTGCCAAAGAATGCCATCAAGTATCAAAACTGTATAAATGTACAAAATGGAATAGCAATGACAGGAGTCAACGTAGTGGTACAAAGTACTATAGCAGCAATTGCTATACTGGATCACTTTTTGCCAACATGCACAGTTATGAAACTATGAGCTGCTTTTTGATGCCTCGTCACAGATAAACCCTCTGACATCACTCTGCTAAATCATTGCAAACTGTGCAGATAAATTACACCAGTGTGCAGTTTTACTAATACAATATATGTAATGTCTTTCTTAAAAAACACATGCCCATACAGTATTCAAGGCACTGCAATGATGTAGAAATGTGATGACAGTGTCAAATTCTATACTTTTTTTAAAAATATTTAAAACATAACTGGTCTTGGATGGGAGTTTAAAATGAATGGTGGTTCATGTTTAAGTGTGCAAATTCTTGTGTATACTGTACATTTGTTGGCAGAAGCTGATGGTTTCAAAAAAAATTGTTTCAGTGTTAATAAAACAGGCCAAGGCCGTGTATTCATCAAGTGTCTTAGAGTAGGAGTATGAATAAAGAATATACTGACTAAGGCACGGTTTCCCAAAAGAATTGTAGAACACACACCGCTCTGAAAATTAGAGATGATGGGGTAGTTGCGCTTATTTTGTTTTTAAGAGTTACTCTAACATAAGGCTGTCAAAATATTGATTAACATAATAAAAGGCTCAGGCTGCCCACTCACATATCATTGCGGAATTTACTGACTTCCAGGCTTAAATGAACTTCTGGGAAACCTGGCCAGTTGTATGTTCTGTGCAGTGTAGTTATTCTTGACCTTGTTTTTTAAGAAAACCTGAACTAATTAGGCAAGCAACTCCTACTTTGAAATTCTTGATATATACAGGCTCAAGGCCGGGGGTTGCTTCACTCCAGATTTGGCTCATTTGGGGCACAAAGTTTTTCTGAGAGGCAAAAACCATCAGTGGAAAACCTAGCTACCAGTTTAATAAGTCCCAAAATCACCAATTCACTGACAAGTACAGAACGGTTGGCCTTGTCAAACTGTGCGAACATATCAGTCAAAAACAAATTCATTGCAAACATCAATAAATACTAATGCTAAATATATCTCTGGTGAAGAAAATGCACCCTGTTGTCGTCAGAAGCCTAAGCCTTGCCAGTGGCACTCGGAAAAGTGTGCTGCACCTCAGTAATTAAATCCCTGGCCATACATTTCCTCAGTAGGAGGTACCACCCAATTAAGAGGTATAATTGACCATATAACTTTGAACAGACTTCAGCATCGACGCTATTCAAAGAGAGCCTGTTTCTCTTCTACCACTTCATCTGCGCTTACACACCCCGCTGCTTGGAAAACAGAAAACAGATTAGATTGATCAACTCACAGTTGAGAGGCTCCTCACCTCCATGACAGAAAAATAATTCTCATCAGAATGATGTAAGACTAAGACTACAGCGTAGATCGGGGCTGTTTTGTTTTTTTGTTTAGTTTTTTCTTTTTCTTTTTTGTTGTAACAGAAAACATTAAATTTTTCATTTGGTATTACGAAATAACCCCTCTATATTTATACTACAGAGTATAAAATACTCTATTTTATCTATATGCCGCAGGCTCTTTTACTTATAAAGCCAACACTCACAGAGTGCAAAAAAACACTTCTCTTCACCAGACTAGGGGAAAATCCGAATAGGTGCGGTACCTACTCGTCCTCACTCTTTCATCTTTTACTTTGTGTATACGATCGATCGCAACCACCTTAAAGTGTTGCTGAAAGTGTGCTTTATGTTTCTGAGCAATTCGGTGACTTTAGAAACTGGGAAATATATAAATATGTCTATATATAGTCACGTGAAACAAACCCGGAGAGGTCGTTTTCTCCGGTCCTTTTTCTGATACTCAATAGACATCAAACCATGGTGCAGATGGTGTTGAGATTGGGGTCAAAGCGGACAACTTTCCCCTCAGCAGCTTTCGTGTTCGTGTTATACATGGGATTCTCAAAAGTGGCCTGTCCATTGTTGTTCTCGTGGACAGAGCATCCTGTGTACTGCGCTTTATCTGTTTTCCTGGGGAGAAAAAAAAAAGGTTGGAAGGGTGCATATTAGTTAGACATAGTAAGCCAATTATCTACCATCCTTCCAATCATATAAACACTTTTCCATTATCTTGGTCCGGACTGCTGTAGCTGGTAAATGAGACTGAATTGTAATTACTGTTGAAAAGAGCAGTCAGAGGTGCCCTGTGCCATTTCTCTGGTAGGTAACATAATGAGTGCAAAATTTGCATGAGTGCAAAATGTGCATGCTATGCTCTGAGAGCTATTCTGTTTAAATTAAGGGGGAATCCTTCCATCTGCACACAATACACACCCTGTGCATTACTTACACGTGTGAACATATAGCAAATTACGCTTTGTATGAAAGCCATTCTCATTAAAAAACCTAAAGCATGCTGCTGTGTAATACGCTTTAGATGGTAATACGTTGACTAATATTGCATCAGGCTTTGAAGTCTCTCACAAGTAAGTTACTGTATCGAGTGAGGAACTTTACTGCGATAAAGCAGACTCTGGAAGTGGGCCGCTGTGTACCATCCACTACTGGCTGCAAATGTGAAGACATCTAGAAATATCTGGGAGTCTATAACTTTGACATCAAGTGTGTAGTAAATTACTAAAGCTCAACCTGGGAACACAGACTCTACATTCTTTCACATGTGGGAACCAAAGAGATGTCCACTACGGCAGCTAGTGTGGCAGAAACCAGGGTCCACTACGTACCGCTGCTTGTAGAGATAGAAACCGAGGCCTGCAAAGATGAGAGCAAAGAAAGGCACGAGGATGGCGACAGCGACAGAACTGCTGTTGGTGGAGCCGTTGGTTTCAGGGTCGGTGAGCGTAACGTTCTCTCTCACGCTCAAACCTGCGACATGGCAAACGCAACATTTAACCAGAGGAAATGAAAAACAGAGACTGTATGCAGGATATGCATTGGAAAAAAAAAATGCAAAGAACAAAATAGAGAGACAAAAAACCAGAATGATACATATCTGTTGGTGGTAATGACGACGATGATGAAAATCATAAAGCTGGAGTTGGAGACACAGCAGCCAGATGATATCCATAATGATCATACTGATGATGATCACTGTGACTGCTATAATCTCCTGGAGACCATCATATGATGATGGCAGCGTTAATGTAGAGCACACACAAGTGAAGGGCAATGATGGTGGAGTGGATAATCTGCTGCTCGCTGTATGGTTGAGGTAAGAGGTGGCTGAAAGCAGGTACGAGGAGTAAGGCACTTTAAGTGTATGAATGCTGCCAGTATAATAGTATAACAGCCATATTATTCATATAGTATCTCAGGTAGTAGTTGAGTTTTTTTTAAAATAATACTTTACATGAATGCCTTTAAAAGTGTCTTTGGTGCATGTGTGCTGGAGTTAAGTGTCCTTCTCCAACCTCTTCAGCTCAGATATCGAGACAAATTTAGCCTGTCACGAAGGAAAGCGACAAGCAACAGTGACCAATATCTCGGCTGTCACGTATCCATGACAAGTATATGGCTGCAATTTCCTAATCCGAAACAATGATGAGACAAACAGCAGACGTTGGGCACTGGAGCAGGATCATCATTCAAGGAAATCATGCAGATGAACATTAAGAGTAGAGTCGCACACATTGCTCCACAGTAAAGTCTTAAGAGCTTGAAAAGAAAATGACAGTCCTTTAGGATGCGGCTGTTGACCCACAATTAACCATGTGAGCCATCACATGAGCCAAAGTGTGGAAAAAACAACAACCCCCCGCTAAGGTTTAAATACCTGGGACTGAATTAGACTCTTGATTTTGAGGTGAAACAAAAACTTAAACAAGCTCTTAAGACTACCATGACCTGGATGACTGAGAACCTACACAGATATTCCACAGTAAAGTTTGAAAATTCATGCAAATTAATCATACACAACATGTTATTAAAAATGGAAAATGATTAGATGGATGTGTGACAGATGGCAATGAGGATTACTGTATTGGAAGGGGGAAAAAATGCATACCAAGTCGCTGTAGCCCAAACTGTCCGTAGTCTTTACTCTGTATGAAGCCTTGGAACACATAGCTACCGCCCTCAGGCTCAGCTGAAACCTGGCAGAAATGCATAACGGAGGTCTTGAAAAACAGTGCTTTGTTTCATCTGCATAAATAAAATCTGTGACACATCTGTTCTACGCGTCATCAAAAACCTCTGCTATACCGTATTTAGCACGACAGCCGACAGATTGTGTCGTGCTACATTCAAAAATAACACCCTTGTTTCTCCGAAACTCTTCTGCAGAAGCTGTGAGCTATGCTATCAATAGCTCGGCGGTGTGCAGTTGCCTGTCAGTGGCTGTTATTAAGTGGACCTTGAAGTTTATTTTAGAAAAAGAACTTCAAATTTAACAACCAAAATGATTCTGCAGTTGTTCCGGGTCCCTTAGATCTCAGATGTACGTCTGAGCTTATTCAGCAAATTGTCAGTGTAGGTGCAGCGAAATGGTTTGTACACCGCGCCTGATGCATCTGAGGTTGAGCCAGTGTAAACATGCACCAGCGGGAACACACAGTAAGCCGAGAAATTACTATTCTGCTTGTGAGCACATTCTTTTCTCATATGTTATGATTTTTTTCTCTTGGCGCTCTTAAGTAGGATCACAGCAAACAATAAGGACACAGCAGTTTCATTAAGTCCAGGGGAGGCTTATTTTTGGCTTCCAACTAGTTATAGCCCATTTCTCTCGTCATTCTATCTGTCTGACAGACTTAATAAAATAAATTACAGCTGCAGCGCCTGCTTTTTGTTCTCCAAAGATTACTTCCCGTGTGATTCAAATTCCTGTTTACACTCACAAATCCGTCCATTGCCCAGGTCTCATCAGTAATCCTGCTCAAGGAGCTGTGGGCCACTGCTCTCATCTGGTACAGCAGGAGCATTAGCCGTGCCTCCTGGCGTTTGTAGACTCCTACAAGGTAAGGACAAGAAGAGAAATGATGCGAGTAAAGAGATGAGGCAATGAGTGTGGCAGAATGATAAAAGCAGAGAGAAGCGAGCGGGGAAAATGAAGAAAAGCCGGAGTAGAAAAGAAGAGGTGGGAAAAGAAGAAACAGCTGGGGGAGGAGGGGAGGAGACGAGTGACTCTTGAGTGGGCAGTTAGTCAGTCACTCGCTGCAGACTGATACATCCGTCTTTAGCGCCAATAGTTAATTTCCACTCTCATGCATGAGATCATTTGGTGATTGACTGATTGACATGAGGCATCCTCAAAATAAATGGAAGTGACACACAGATTTGTTGAGGGGCGGTTAGGGGGGAGGATGTAGAAGACAGATGATTTATTGATGACTCACCAGAGAGCAGAAACTCCATGCTACTGTCTCTTAAAGTTACATTGACTTTTCCCGTTGTGGCATTAAAGCTGGCGACTGTTAAAGTCATTGGCTGCTTTTGGCCCTTGTAATCATATGAACCCTTCCAGATGAAATCAGGTGCAAAGACGTCATCGGGAACTGTGGGAAAATGAAACCTCGCTAAGTAATGTCAAAACATTTTGTCATTAAAAAAATTACATCAAATTAACTCCTGGGGAACTACCGGTTCAAACACGTATATTTTAAACATCAAGTCAACATCATGGTTGTAATTCAAGCCGACTCCAACGCTGCAAAAGGGTAATTAGAAACGGCGTGGAATCAACATAACAGACAGCTGATAACAATCTCGTCATTCAAGTTGAATATCAAGTTCCTTATATGCTTTGACAATCTCAGCCAGTGATAATTAAATACAATTTTAAAGCGATAACTGTAGGCTTGCTCTGTGAAATGGGCAGAAACTTAATATTATGCAGTGGAAAAACTTCTTCTAGCCTGCAAGAACGCAGAAAGGTGACGCTTTGTAGTTAATAGCAGGAAAAGACATTAATCTTGGTCTGAATAATAACCTAGTAATTACTGAAGAAGTGGGACTTGGTAGCCAATGGTCAATGGTGGTCACTTAATTTGTGTAAAGATGAGAATTGAAAATGCTAAAAAATAAAACATAAAACCTCTTTTTTGTGTTTTGCACAGACCCCTGGACAGATTTTCTTCTGTGTTTAAATGTCTTAACGCACTCTACTTTACTTATTTTTTTAAATTTCAATTTAGGCTTCCTGAGTAAATATGAACAGCTTACCTATGTTGGTATATGCTACGTGCTTATATCTAACATGGACACAGTGATGGTGCCTACAATACAGATACCATGTTAACAATCTTACATTATGTTAGCATATCAGAATCTGCTGAATAACAGTTCAAGTACAGTTGAAGCTGACAGAAAAACATAATAGTAAAGAGCTTTAGTGCTCAGTAAGAATAGAAAAGTACTAAATAAGTACCAGTCCATTTGGCAAGGATGAAGGCTGTCCTAAAGGTCTGGAAAGAACCTGGCAGTAAAAATACAGATTTCATTCCGGGAGGAAGCTTCATGTTGGAAAGCTTCATGTTTGAACCACATATGCATCACCAATTAATTACAATTTCTATTAGCATATTCTAAACGAACACATTTAAATGTTTTTCTTTAATGCGTTACAGTGCTCTTCGATGCTCAAGGCAAATTCAGAGACTTTAGTATATTTTCATCATAATTACAGCATAAATTTACATGCATGTATTGTGGTACAGTTTTACAAGTAATTACCATGCTGCACCATTTTCTATTACAGATGAAACGCGTCGTACGTATATTATGCGAATATCGCTCCCTATTATGACCTGTTAATTTTGCCTGGAACAAATTGGATTTAAATCTTGTTTTGCAGTAATTATTTGCTCTAAATGACTCTGAAAGAGGCATATATTGAAATGGAAAAAGGAAACCTGCTGTATTTGTAATATAGCCACGGACAAATATGCACCACGCTCTACACCAATAATTTTCATCATTTTAATAATTCTCCTCTACGGCGGAACCTATAACCTGCAATACTACGCTACAACACTAGGTTTTGTGCAAGAGGCAATACATAATTATTATTTATGTGATCTGATGAAGATAACATTGCTCACACTATGCAGAGTGCATACAATGAAAAAGGGCGAGCGTTGGTTGTACGGAGACGATTTTTTCCTGTTGTTTAAGAAACAAAATGTTTCTGTGCAGCAGTTAATGCCGAGCCTATCAAACGGCAGATGCAGTAACAGGATTGTCGACTTCTGCATGTATTAAATGGAAAGCTTGTACAGTTCAATACTCACCGTTTATTTTAGGGCTTGGTGTTCCCAGTATATGTTTGACAGTTTTCTCATGCGATTTGGAACCGGCTGAAAAGAACATAAATATATCTGTCACAAAGATATTGTGATACGCAGCAGGGTCTAACAGCTGGAGGATGTTTCCAAAACAAATAGCACTCAGCTGTAACATACTGCCTGCATTGTACTTTTCCCTCTTTTGCTAAAACCTGTGGTGGCTATGCTCTAACGCTAACATTGATGAAACTTTGAGAAACTTGCTGGCAGTTATACGATAGGCTCACAGAACGCACCTCGTTATTGTTTTGGATGATTTATCTTTAACTCCAACTCTTTCCCTTCTTACCACTTTTTCAATCATTTGCCCCCCGCAGACCTCTGCCAGCCACGTACCTCTGCACACGGGCACCTTGCCAGTCCAGCTGCCGTCGGAGCGGCAGACACGGTGCTCTGAACCTCCGGAGAGGAAATAACCTGGCTGACAGGTGTACACCAGGGTGTAGCCGTACGAAGGCAGGTCTAGACCCATGACGTCAGCGTTGGCTGGGCTCCGTGGCTGCTTGCAGGAGTGAGCTGGATATCAAGCAGAGGAGCAATGTGTTAGTACACACACATTCACATCACAATCCCAGACATGCATACAAATAGAGTCGTGCACCACACACACACACACACAGACATGTACACACCCAACTCAGAAAGATGTACAGATAGAGAAAAGATAATTAAGCTCTCACTAGGGGGAGGAAGAAGAAGATACAGGGGGTGGGTGGGGGTAAAAAGGGAAGTACACATATCTTACAATTTAATTGAGTGCAGGCAGCTATTAGGAAGCATGCTGATACTTTAATATGTTTATGTTTCTGTTCTAATATGAATACAATCTTGTGGGTTAGGATATGCACTGCTTAACTTTACACTGAATTTTCCTCCAACGTGAGCGGGAGCCAAATTATATCCAAACCTTAACTGTGTCAGCTACCGGTCACAGATTGCAAGCAATAAGGAATGCCTGCGTTTAAATGCTATAGCAGTGCAACACAAGGTCTAGGTGAACTCATTGTAATTCAGCTAGCAGCTGAAAACCCCCCAAAACATTTGGAGGTGTTTGTGTATATCTTGAAATAATCGAAAATGTTCAAGGGCAGGACCGAGCTGGTCTAAGCTCACTGGTGTCCTTGTGGGAAAGAAAAGTGCTGAAGCAAACGTTGTTTTAAACCTTGTGAGAGCGTACAGCATGAGAGCGTGCATGTACGGTGCAGCCTGGGCTGACTACACTGAGGAAAAAAGTGTGAGAGCTCCATGACAATGAATGACCAACCACTAAATAGTTTGTCATGTTTTATTTGGAAAGAATAAAATTCAGAAAGTGAAACCTCCCATCCACAAAAGTGTTGAAATGTGTTTTGTCTCCTGTCTTCTGTTTCCAAAAAGTAAAACAAAGCAGGGAGAAATTTAGGATAGCATTTAGACGAATAACAAACTGGGGGCAAACACTGTTATTGTCGTGTTGCCAAAACACCAGTGTCTTATTTAGTCTGAATTAAATATCTGAATACACTGATTACAGTTAGCTTAAATTTTCACTTCAACAGTCTCTCCCTACAAAACAAAAGTTTATGCAAATCACCCTACAAACCCCCAAAAAAACTGAGCATTCAGCCTCTGAGGCATCGACCATAATGTGAAAACAGCGAAATAATTTTGCAGTTTGTGAGTGAAAGAATATGTTGCCAGCTGTCAAATGGGAGACAGCTGCAAGTGAGTCACAGTACCAAATCAGTTCTTCATGGCGTCTTAATGACATTAGTGGCAATAGGGTGAGGAAGGGATGCCAGGATGAAACCCAGTTTGGGCTTTATGAAAGACGAGCAGACTGCTGGAAATTCCTCTTTCTGGATATTACTGCTGCTGGTGTTTGAGAAATGTTCAAGTAGTATTATATATGTGGGTGAGTGTGCATGTCTGCAAGCACAGTGTCCATTTTCTAGGAAGTTAAAGAGTCCCGTGAAGGTAAAGGTTGTGTTGAAATTTAGCAGAAAGCTCATCTAATGCATCATATACTTATAACTGGATGCAACAATTTAGCATGCATTAGAAAAAACTGTTTAAATCAACCACGTGTGCCACACAGAACTTTTTTAATGAGGTGGTTTTTATTTACACAGTGCAAAAAAAAAAGAGAAAGAAAAACCAAAACTACCTCTTTCAATGGGTTGTAGATATTAAAGCTAGAAACATAAAGCTATATTCCCTCCCTACTGCCTGAGGACAAGTCTAAGTAACTCCTTTAAAATGACTGTCAGCACATGTCCAGTGTGGTGCACAGTTTGTAGACCATGAATACTAAAGGCACTTACAAGGCCTGTGAATTGTACCAAACACATATCATGTTCCTCATCAGATTCAGCTGACAGTTTATTTACACTTCAAACGGCACAGTGGGCTTTACTTCTGAGATTACAAGGAGCCTCAAAGAACAGTTTTTGTGTCACACGACAACATGCAATGTTCTTCATTCAACGCTGCTATCTCTTAGCTATGGGGCTAGGGATACAGACTGAGAGGCAGAGGTAGATAGAGGCAGACACAGAGAGACAGCCATGCTGATGGATTTCTGTAAGGGACAAGAAGGTCAGCCAGCTTTAGTAACAGCAGGCCACGGTCGATAGCATAAAGTTAACTTTTAATCTGTTACAATGTTTTCTTTTCTTGTAACACACAACTTTATTTATTACAAGCAATCTCATTAATCTGTAGACATACATACAGGTCTTTCAGTTTTTCGATTTATTCAAGTTTTTTATATATTAGAGAATGAATAATAATATTGTTATATAACAATATAATCTGATAGAGATAACAAGAGTAAGAGCCAGGAATATTAAATTCTGACTTGCGTCCATTGCATCACTTGCATTAAATGTGTTGATAATCCCTCCAAGTTTTTGCTTTTGCCAGCTGTATAAGATTGGTTGGCTTCACTTTTAAATCCATTAAGTGGCTTCACAGTAACAGAGGACCATTTAATCATAGAGAAAGGTATTTTAGAGGATTTATGACTGTGTTTTGACCGAAGGTCACAACAGAGTGTTGGATCCACACAAAAGCACTCACACTGAAATACATATACATAACCACTAGGGGTGGGGGAAAAAATCGATACTGTGTAGTATCGTGATATTTTGTTTGCTAATAATGTATCGATACAGGGACAGCAGAAATCGATATTTTGTTACAAAAAAAGTTTTTGTGCTCTGACTTCAGAGCACGTTGATCAGCTCCTTTTTCTGAGCAAGAACCCTGACATTCCTTCACTGTCCAAATGTGTTTAACTGTTTTTTGGCAGCAATAAACATGACAGTTTACTTATTTTAATTTAAGACATGTTTGATTTTAATTAAGTTTAAAACTTTTTTATTTAATGTAAAATTATATTTTGTTTTAATTTACTTTCAAATTCTTCAGTTGCTGAAGGGGCTGCATGGTTTTCATAAATTGCATAGTTCAAAATAGCTATAATTGTACCAGATGGTTGCATTCAGTTAAGTTGGACTAGACTATAATACAAACCATTCAGTTTGTCAACAATAAAACTGACTGAAATGAGAGAAAGACTGAGTGTGAGACTTTGATATTAGATAAAATGAATACTGATAAAGTTTACCTTTATCTACAGAATCTGAATATCGCAGATATTTAAAAAAAATCGCAATAATATCGTATCGTGCATTAAGTATTGTGATAATATCGTATCGTGGGATGTATGGTGATTCCCACCTCTAATAACCACTGTTTATCCACAATGTTTTTTTGGGCCAGACACCCCACTGGGCCTGTGTAACCATCTCCAGGCATGAACGCATAAAAAATTACTTGGCTGTCATTAATTTACTGGACAATGATTCGCAGTTTTATTAAACCAAAATCTTTTTTTTTTGTATCTCCAATTCATAGCAACCACATGCACTATTTAATGACACATGCTATTGCAAAAAACATTCAGGCTGCTCAGTCCTGATGCCAGGAGTTACAATTATGAACCAACACAAGCAAGTTTAACTAACAGCACAGCACACAAGTTATTGTTCAGGTCCCTCCTGAATACATCATTTACCTCTGGGCTAATGACAACAGCAGAAGCTAATTGGAATCTAGTTAACAAACCTGAGGTTCAATCAATGAAGCTTGATTGGAGGTGTGGGTTAGAGCTACTGTGACTTATAAAAAACACATCTCGAGTTTTCTATTCACAAGAAGCCTGCGCCAGTGTGAACTGTGCCATAGTGAAAAGAGATTCTACTTGCACAAAAAAAATTTATATGCATGACCTTCAGATTTAGAGAAGTCTTTCAATAAAAAATATTAGGAAAACAGTGTGGCATGAATGCATGATATCTGATGGATGTGATGCTGCCTGCCAGTTAATAAGCTAATGTGCCACAAAGTTTTATGGCAAGCTAACCTACTGAGGATTAGAGTATTTAAATGACCAATGTTAATGTAGCATTAGGCTAAGAATGTTTCTCAGTCATTTATTTTGAGGGTCTTTCCTTAAACTGTAGGGTAAAAGATAGCGGTGACTGCCAAACATAAATTCTGTATTCTAAGACTGTGTTTTCAATTCCAGCTAACAATGACAAGAGGAGGTCAGGGGTAAAATCAATACATTTTTCAAGCCACTACAGGTGATGGAACAAGGCCAGAGAGCAGCTCCTGAAAAGTTGCAACCACAGTAGGCACACCCTGCAATGAAATTGCACCTGCTGAACAGCCCAAGTCAAGAAAATAAAGCAAAAACCTTAAAACATTGTTTTTTTCAATATATTATTTTATGCCCATTCAAGTAATTGTGGCTGGTGGGATGTTCTGTTGGTACACAATATTCAAAAAGGTTGCTCGCAGCTTCTTGAGGACTAATCACTGCAGTAATGTGCACGGCGGGAATATTCAGGAAGCAAATCAAATCAATATCCAGTAGGCATAAACATGGCTTATATTTTATTTTTCACTCTTTCAGTATAAAAATATAAACTGTCTTTAGAGAAATGTAGAGATTTACTAAAGTTTAAGACTAGGTTGAGGCATTAACATTTCTTGTTTTGTAAGGTATGGTGGAAGTCATTAATCCATTATTAATCAATTAAGGCTGAAACCTTAATTACCATATTTAAAAACAAAGCAGGTAAACACAAATTTTAATGAGTTATGTAGCATAAATTTGCCTAACAATTGACTGAATTGTGTCCTCGGCTTCTGCTGTCCGTCTCGTGGCAGATAAAAGATGACAAAGAGCTTTAAATTAAGCACGGATATAAATTAAGAATATATTGTTACGCATTAGGCTTCCTCAGAAAATAATGAAGAGAACTAGTGTTTAACAAAGTGAAAGGGACTTCAAATTAATCTTCTCGTCTAGTGATTTGTTTTCTATTTTATTTTCGTGTTATAATATTTTCCTTTCTTAGCAGCAGAGTCATCTCGACTTTTTTGAAGACTCACAAAGCGGTGCAATACAGACTATATGTATTTCACTCTGTAGCAATCATTTAACTGCATGAAGATATTAATCCTCACCAAACACAGCTGCTCCCACACCTCCGGCAATACGATGTCAGTCTTTTAGTTAAAAATCACATTTTTACATATGAGTTTTATAATTTATAATAATATTGATTTAAATCTGCTCTGACTGCTGCTCTATTTTTTGGGTATCCATCACAATGCTCGCAATAAATGCCATTAAGGAGTCAGAGGAGGTGCAACATCCTGAATTATTCTATAGCGAGCAGGATGACAGGGTCAGCAGTTTGAAGATAGAGGTGGAGCAGGAAGGGCTGAGGAGCTGTCAAGTGTAGACAGGTATGTTTTTTGTAGTCTTTTCTGCTTTCAGCTGAAGTTTTGAGAACAATCTTAATTTAAAAAAAATCTTAATTTGAAAAAGAATCTCTGCACAACAACTGACTTTATATACAGTACTGCGTAAATGTCTCTTCTTTATATTTTGACAGGTTCATAATGGGAAATACGTGCAGGTATTTATTGAATATGCATATGCAAGCATGTGCAAACATACATGAAAATACAGTATATAAAGCAAAACCAGAGTTTGTACAGTTCTAACGAGCCTGAAAGTCAATATTTGGTACCACATTTATTCTTCAACACAGCCTGAACTCTTACGCAGCATTGGTGTCATTTCTTCAAGCAGTCTTCACGAATAGTTCTTCCTGAAGGACATTCAAAGCTCTCCTTTTGATGTTGGCTGCCTTTTGTTCTGTCAAAATGATCCCACACTGCTTCAATATTGTTGAGGTCCGGGCTCTGGGGAGGCCAATTCATGACTGGTAGTTTTCCAGTGTGTGTTTTTCTATCTAGGGAAGCTTTTGCTGCATTGACAGTATGTTTGGGGTCTTGCTAAAAAATGAAGCTGTTATCAATCAGACTCTTTCCAGACGATATTACACGATGAAAATCTGACCGTACTTTTCCACGTTCATATTTCCAGCAATTTTGACAAGATTCTGAACACAACTGGCTGAAATTCATCTCCAAACCATGACAGAACCTCCACTGTGTTTTATGTGCACTTTTGCACCTCTCTCCTGACCTGTCCCGTGCATATTGATGACAATTTGAATCAATTCGAATCAAAACTTTATAATATGAATCGATCACTCCATGAGACCTGATTTTCAGTCCGGTGTGCCTTTAGGAATTAGGTGCCTTTTTCCATGCTTGAATTATTCACCAGTCAGTGTAAAGTAGCATTATAAAATCCTCTAAAACTGGTCAGGTACAAGTACTGGACTGATAATGAGTTGACCTGAACCTAGAAAGACCTCTAAAGTGTGAGATTTTATTTTTAATAAAACATATAAAACATCAAATTTCAATTAAATCATCATGCTCTGAATATAATGAACCTTTAACATGAAATTTTAATTTAGTACAGTGGCATCAAGTTTCTATTGAAACAGCTTCTGTCAGGTTTACCTGATTTGTTTTTAGCTGAGTGTATGAACAACAAAAACACAGCAGGCACATATTCAAGGTTTCACTATTCGTCTTAAACTCCTTCTTCTCCCACTACAGCAGATGCACAGACACACAGGGCTGCAAGGAAGGCAGAGGACGCGGGGCAGGTATTACAATGCCTCAGCTTGCTTGCTCAGCGTAAATGTCTCTGGGATTTGAACGGATGCCGTATATTTTTGTAGTTATGAAATCAAGATTACGAAATATCATCTGAAGCACATTATCATCACACAGCTGAAGTGTTTACATTGTGGGTGCTTAATAAAATGGAGTTTATTATAAGAAATGTTCCAGTAAAAAAACCCACTGTAGCTGAAAGGGTTTTACTAGGATACTGGACTACATCACATTTTAGAAAACCACTTATCTTGGCAAAGTGAATGGGCTAAACTACACGGCCATAGTTTGGTGTCGGTCGACTTTTCGGGGAGTTTAAACAGAAGGACAGTGATCACAGTGTTCAGTACAGTCTCAGGATGATGGCAGGTTGATTGAGGGGCAAGCTGCAATCTACTGGGAGGCCAGAGGTTATGGCAGGATTGAGCGAATGTGAAAAGTAGCTGAGGGGAGGTATCGACAGTGCGAGGATGGGTGCTACGGGTGTTGAGGAAAAGCAAAAACAGAGCGTCTGGAGCAGTCGGCAATGCGGATAAGCAGCGACAAGATGCCAGAAGGAGTAGTGAAAAACAACAACGAGTGATGTTAAGATATAGTTAGAGCATAAGGAACAAGCACTTACAGATGCAGGCTGGCTGGGTGCCAGTCCAGGTGAGATCTGGCAAACAGAGCCTTGTGGTGGAGCCCTGCAGTATGTGTCCCTGCTGGCACTGGAAGTCGACTCTGCTGCCCACCTGGCCACCAACAGACCGCACACAAAGTGAAAAAAGTCAATACAATGATGCAAATGCCAATAGGCTCCTAGCATCAAACTAAAGAGCCTGGAAAAAACACAGTGCACACCAAAGTTTTTTTTCACTTTTTTAATGATTATCTGTAGCGTGTAGAGGCAGATGGAGGCTATTCCCAGAGGCGATGGCCCATGTTTGTGTTTGCAACTGATGCACAGACATTAAAGAGTGAGGAAGATGACTTTCTGGTTAAAATATTCAACTGCTTTCTGTTCTGCTAATAAATGACTTTTATTTCCTGCTACCATCCCAGTCGACTCTTTAAAGACATCATCAACAGTGAATTTTCTCATTCGGTAGTCTCAGGATATTGGTAAAAATGTTCAGTAATGCAGAAAAATGCAAGACTACAGCCATTACAAGCACTTATCTAAATAAGCTCCCAATGCTTTCATATGGGATAAATTACATATCACACATTCAGCTGAATGTCGTGGAGAAATTGCACTTGTAAGTGACACTCTAAAAGCAATAGGGAGGGCCAAAATAAAGCGAAACACACAGACTGAAAGCATCTCATCTCACTGAGCACAGATCAATGGTCATACCACCAGTTACTTATTTATTTTTTTAAGATGCATTTTTTTCCTCCCTCACATCTCCCCACGGACATTCCAGGGGGTTGAAAAATCCAGTTGGTTTAAGGGGAATTATATGCACGCACTTCTCTGCTACATCCTTGCACCCACATAACATCATCCAAAGGAATACATGATAACTGTACCTACAAAAATCCACTGGATATTGCACATTTAGAAGAAAACGAAGGGTGATTAACACATCAGAGTTACAGTGAGTGCTACTTTGATTGGGTGCTTTGTGTTCACAGCTGTATACCTGTTAGATATAGTGGAAAATGTGGAAATTCTAATATTTCAAACACCTTTATACCATAAATTCTTAAACAAAACACACACACACACACACACAATCACCCCAGAATTAAAGTGCCTACAGCCATTTTTATGAAATGCATTCATTGCAATCTTTGCTCAGTTCACCTTAAAGCCTGTTGAGTAATTCATGAAGCCATGCTCAGGTGTCCCCGGGTTTTCACACGTGGTTCTCGTGGGCTCTGGAAAAATTAGAATGTGACAGTGAAAAAAAAAGATTTCTCTCTGGAGTTTCATTACTGATGTGGCGCAGTAACATGACTGGAAATAAAATGCATTTCTTGGTTTTCAATTTTCTTTAAATTACAAAAAAGCACTTTATTTTATGCATTTTCAAATATTTCCTTAGCAGCTAACATCAGATGAAAATAAAGAGGCACATAAATGATTTTTATACTTTGATTTAGTTTTACACCAGATGGCAGCCTGATTCTCATTCACCTTCAGCCCTTTTGTTCTTTATGTTTTTGTGCATTTGTTTGCTGTAATATAATTAGGAATGAAAAATGTAATTACAGTGGAAAACTCCAAAACTGTTTTCAAACACTGAGATTTTCTGTGTTTAGGTGAATCAGCGAGTTTTGTTTCCTCACCTATACATCGGGGCTGAGATCCGCTCCAGGTCCCGTCTTCCTGGCACATGCGAGTTGTTGACCCGACCAGCACGTAGGGGGCACTGCAGCTAAACGTGACCTCTGACTTGAAGATGAAACTGCGTCCTTCTCGCCTTCCTTTGGGAGGCGTCCCAGGATCACCGCAGAACTTGGCTGCAGAGGAGGAAACGTGTAATATTGCTGATACCGCTCCTGATCAACAACAGCAGCACAGATGTTTCTGTAACCATACAGGACGTATCCAGGTGCAGTGTGAAGGATATATTCTGTTCGTGTGATTACAAATGCAGAAAATGATCTAGCTCCTTTTTAAAATTCAAACATCTGTCTCTTTTCTGCTGCATAACACAAAAGGAAGACTGCATGCAGAGAGTCAACTGAAAGCATTGTTCAGCTGAGTCTTCAGTATTATATTCACAACTAATAAGCTATGGGGGCTTCTTCTGTACCCACATATGATCAGACCACAGGAGCCAACACTGGTTTTGATTGCTGCTGTGAGCTTTGCTGTTTTTGATAGGCTTTTTATTACATCCTCTTTATTCACTTTCCCGCCTGTAAAAATGAATGTCTCTCTATATGATCCGCAAATTCTTCAAGGACTGAATTATTCAAATTGCATTGACATTATGCTTGTTGCACAAAGTCTTTTGCCCATTTTTTATTGCGTGTGGGCAGATGCATTGACGTCCTTGTCTCTGGATGAATTACTCTGTCTCTTTTTTTATTATTTTTTGTTTCCAACACTCAACCTTGCTGGTGAGGGCTAATGGTGGGTATGTGCATATTCATTTTGACAGCAAAGAGGGAGTGAGAGGGGGGCGACGGCTCTCAATTTGAGATCAAAATAATTAGCAAGTGAATATTAATTTCTCTGACAGGGCCTTGAGGTTAACACAACTACAGCCATCTGCTGCTGTTGCTCTCCAGGCCCCTTGTATGATATCTTTTTTTTTTTAAATGAGACTGAAGCCACAACCTCAGCAGATGATTCCCAATGGATTGCCACTGTGGCTCCCTCAATTTATTGCTTATAGACATCTAATCAAACTGACTGGAGTGATTTAGGCTGAATGGTTGTGATGTCCAGAGACAGTCTGCTAGTTTATTTTTCTGTCTTTTCTTTATTTAATGTTTGCACCTAGCAAGCCACTATAACCAAGTGGATCAGTGAAAGATACTTGTTGGATGTGGAGGATCCAGAAATGCTCAGTGCGTGAGAGTGCAGAGGTGAGAGTCACCGTCTTCAGTCACGCAGCCAGAGCACTGTGGGATCAAGTCTGTAATAAGGCAGGCACTGCTTCTCCAGACCTGACATGTGCTGCTACATGGAGGCCTGGAGACAGATAAGTTCTTATTTGCTCTTTTCCCTAAAAAAAAAAAAAAAAAAAAAAAAGCCAACAGGGTTTTCTCACTTCCAATATCTGACACAATAGATATCGAGTAAAAGAAGTGATTAGAATCCAGCCCATCCAGGGATGTCTGACTAAAGCCATTACTGGAAATACTGTTATCTGAGGAAAAAAATCCTTGGATTCAGGGATGGATCTTCTCCTGGAAAATGTGTTTCCCTATCCTTTAGACCCCCAGTGAAAATGATGCATTGCAAGCTTCTGCCCCCTTGTTTGCAGCAGTTTACCCATTTTTGATATGACAGCAAGCAAAGATGCAAATACGGTTCCAGATCTGAAAAATGATTCTTGTCATTTCAAAAAAGGCATCGTAAGACTGTATGCAGATGGCACTTTGGAGGGTTGACAATACAGGCCAACCAGGTGACATGCACATCAGTCATGAGCTTTAGGCTGCGGGGAAATAATGTACTGTTTTATGGATATATAAAAGAAATGGCCCCAGGCCAAACCAAGCTCAGCATATTTAATGCGCCTGTGTGTTCCTGTGTATGTATATGTGTGTTGATGGAAGACTGAGAGAGACTAGACAAAGTTTTTCTCGCTCTCTTTCAGCCACACTCTTTCCTTGATGAATTATCAATGCTTTAAGGTAATCATTATGCAGAGGGCACATTCAAAGTTGCATCCCTGCAGACGCATGAACTAGCATTCTCAAGCATTCTCAAGCATTGAATTTAGGAGATTCATATGTGTTGTTATAGAAAGCAGTGCCATGCATCTTAATCCTGTCTGGCTAAAGAAAGTTCAACTATTAAGAAAAGACTTGCTTTGCTGATTCATTGCACCTCCTGGAGTTTTGCTGAACTGTATTTCAAGAGAAAGTGCTGAGTTGAAGTTGATAAATTGCAGTTATATATATTTTTTAAACAGACAGCAGTGCAGCCATGCTGTATGTATACTAAACTGCTAGGCAGTATATTTAAAATGATTTCATACCATACAAAATATAACAAACTTATCAGGTCTGATTTGCAGCAAATCTGTATGATGTAGCTAAAAGGAATTTGATGATTCGTCCCGCTGACTTTATGATTCTGTTGGGAAATCTCCTCAGTAAAGATGGTAACTTAAGAAAATATTTAAGATTATCTTTATAGTTGCAGCTAATGCACAGATAGAAAAATACTGCAGGCATATGGGCATTCACAGCTTGCCTGTGAAAATGGAGAGCGTCCCAGTAATAATGGCCAGTACCATAAACAAACTTTGACCACAGAAGAATTTACCTCTAATGACTTCTCAACTGATAATAACCACCAGCGCAGACTGCTGTAGATAGTGCATTGTTGTCACTTTAAAGCACAGATAATAGCCTTTTCTACACCAAACATGATCAGCATTTTTTCCCCTTTGTCTTCCCGTTTTAATGACTCGTTTATTTTCCTTGGTAAACCTCAGTGATTTATCATATACATGTTCCTACCGCGAGTAATGTAGCAGGAGAGCCAAGTTCTCCACAGAAGTTGGTTATTGGTCACACTCGGTGATATTTATAGTGCATTCCTCTCAATTTGTGTCAATTTAGCACAATCACTAAAGCATGAATTCTGCGTTGTGAGTGATAGGGCTATTAAATATAATTACCAATTCAAAAACAATTCTCTGCCCAGATACACTTAACAGTATCATGGAACATAAAGGTTACTCACTCACGTTGCTGCGGGAGGTTGTTTTGGGGTAGCTGATGTGGAAAAATGATTGTAGTGTGCTGAGGGATGACTCCGCTCACCATAATTGGAGTAGACAACTTCCAGACATTAATCAGGTGGAACCTTATCCATTTTACGAACAGGCGACATGTTTTACTCTTAGCAGGCGAACAAAGATACAAGCGTACCTCAATACAACATGCATTTGGTTACTCAGCTTTGCTAGAGCACTATCAGGGCATGGCACACAAATATGGTCGTTTTCAGTTAAGCAGGATATAAATCAGAAAGCAGTGCGCATACTGACTTAAAGTAAATGACTGCTATGTGGCCACTGAGTACAGCAAATGGCTACAAGCGGTACTATGCTTCTAGTAGCGTGGCCACAAACACGAGCAGTCTGTCAGCTGCATTTCAGAAGCTAAGTACCCAAATGGGCCCGCGTTCGCCTGACTGAAGATGGCCACAAGCAATGAACTCTGTCATCAGCATCAATTACAAGAGAGCACAGCAGCAAATGCACTATTTTCAAATGGGCTCAGGGGGCTTTATAGGTTCAGTCTGTTGTGATCCAACATGTGATAATGAAATACTACAAACATCCCAATTTTCCTCTAATTCAAAACCTTGCCAAAGTAACTGTATACACAATAAAACGCTATACCTAATAGAAAGTCGAGTATCTGACGGCAGAGATTTCTTGCACACGAGGGCTGCAATATTTAATTTGTAGGATGCAAAATTCAGCACTTCACTCAGCACGAAAGGACTGCCTATATTCAGCAGTTAAAGTGGCGATACTTCAAACAAAACGGCGGCACTTGAAGGGTTTGAGCAGGATTATTTTTAGTGGCTTTTGTTTTATTCTACTTAGTCCTGACTGATATTCAGAGAGAAGCAAATGCATGCAAGTACTCTAGCCTTCTTGATATTTCATTTCTGTCTGACTGATACAATGCAGGAATGATTCAGATGACAGCGAGACACTCTTGAGCAGTCATGCATTCCAGAGGTTATTATTATGCTTGCAAAGATGATTCAGAGAAAGGTCTTAATGTAGTAAGACGCACCCGACACGTCACTTGTGGCTGCGCTCGGATCATCATCATCTTCATCGTTAATATTGTAGCTTTGTTACTTAGGCTAGAGGTCAATTCACTTTTCATTTAATCAAAATCCAAATAAGAGCTTCGTTTTCACGTGCTAATGATGAAATATTTATTTAGGTCTTCAGAAACGGGCAGGATCTAACGTCCAACTCCTCTTTGCATTTTTCCAGCCTTCATTTAAGAAAGACGTTTTTTTTAAAATTTACTTTAAGTGGTTTAAGGGTTAAGTATGATTGAATGCTTACAAAAAAGACCCTGATGTTGTAACTTAGGAGATCAGATATAATCTCTGTTCTGCATCTCTGCCAGACTGTCTCATTTCATTTGTATGATCCTTAAGCAAAATTCCTTGACTTTCATTAACTTGAAGTAACCTTTTAAAGCAGCAAAAGTGGTGTATACGGGATTTTGCCTTGGAGGGCACAACTTAAAACTAATGTAATGCATGTGAGAAACAAAATTATATGCAGGTATAGAGCTGTCTGGAAACTCAAATACATGTAACAAAAGGATGCAAGACTTATTTTAAGAGTCAAAAATCATAAGCCTGATAATGGTTAAAAACGGGCAAAAACAGTCCAATTAAGCTCACTGTTGGAATCACCGAGTTTCTGACAGTCTCAGAAATGTCATCTGGTTTATTTCAGTCTAAACATAGAGAGACTTCCTGTACATTACAATCATCCTGAAGGCACTGTGGGCATGAATGAACGTAGGAAACGATGACTCACGCAAGCACTGAGGCAAGTCTCCGCTCCATGTCCCGTTCCCTGTGCAGGTTAGCACAGCAGGAAAAGACAGCTCATAGCCGGGTAAACAGGTGTAACTCACGCTGGTCCCCCACTCCAGGACTGAGCCCTCAAGGAGGCCGTTGGGGATGGATGGGGGTGTAGGACAGGTGACCACTGTAGGGATAGAGTGGATACGCAGGTCACAGACGCATCAGAGTACATTCAAAGCACAAATCAGAATGAATTAAGTTTGAGTGCAATGCTTAAAAGAGGGCACACACTGATTAGTGTGTACCGCCACCCTCTGCAATAGTTGAGGCTCTAAAGCAAATTTGAAGTATTTAGAGTTATAGATAGAATATAGTCTTTGATAGTTTACTGGAATCATCTATGGTTCACTCTCTGACACAGTCTGAATATTTGCTGGAAGAAGGTATTTTGCAAACGAAGACTCTCAGCTAAAATATAACTTACAACAAGAAAATGTTGTGACTTGAAAATATTGGGTTTAGTAGCCTTGGATGCCAGCAGGAGAGGTCAAACGAAACCTTGAGGAAAGATTGTTTTTCTTCTGCCTTACAGCAAAGGTGAGTTACATTCAGCAACCAAAATGGCTGCTGAATGTAACTCAAGGAGAACAGACAAACAACTACTGTGATTAATCTGTATTTACAAGAATATGGCTACACATGTACTGAATCTTACATTTCAAATTGAAATGTTGCTAAATATTAATTGCACTGAGGTTAAGATGGCGTAAGATGGATGTAAACACACAGTAAACACAGTAATACACTCACTTTTCATCCAAGAAATAAAAGCTTTTATCATCCTATTCATATACTGATGATTAAAATGTTTCCTAGAGACCTTTATTTAAAAAAAAAAAACTAAAAAAAACTAAAAACCAAGTCAGGTTAAAACTGGTCAATGCAGTGACCAAAACCCCATTACACCAAAAGCATCAAATTAAAAAGCAGCAGAGGTGGCACTAATTCACCATTCTGCATAGTGTGGATTACAGCTGAAAATGAGGTCTTTAGCTCAGAGAAATAGTCTGTGTTTTGACTGTGAGCGATTTCTGTTTGGAGAATACAGAATAATTTCTGTGCAAAATGAGGGGGGCATCTTGCGTCTGTGTAAGCCGTAAACTTTCAGCTCAACAAATGTAATAAATGAATGCATAATAAAGCTCAGAGTTTGTTCTGACACACTTGGAGATGAACCCGTGGGGACGCAGATGGGATATGGGTTTTAGAGATGTGAATAAATTAGTGCTGTTGCTTTATACCACTGCTATCCTCCCTCAGCACCCATCATTACCCCCAAGTCTTTTTCTCCCTTCTTTCTTTTTGGCATTCTTGTGTTTGGTTAAACACTTGAACAAACATCTGCAAACTGAAGTCGAGCCTTATCCGAGTCTTTCAACTGTGGCAAGTTCAATTGATTCGTTTATATTTAAAATACATGCGTGCTTGTTACATATGGCTCCCCGACTTTCAGAAGCCTTTAATTCTCTTCATCTTATTTTCACAATTCAAAAATCAAAAAGTTGTGACAATTATCCAAGTTATGACATGAGAGTGACGCGGGGATAGAAGGCAGGCACATGACGGACAACTTCCTTGCCTCGTTAGCGCAACTTTTCATTCTCTGCACAACAAATTACAGTAAATGTGGAGCAAGCCACTGTGGGATATTCACACATCCTCTCAAAGGTGGAACTGTCTTTTTGTTCTCAGTTGGCAGCAGATCCAAAATGATTTCCATATGGACATTTTGCAGCAGCATATACAGTATATATGAAGTGTGCTATAATCAGAACAGTATTTAGGCCACGGTGAATAGAGAATAAAAATAAGAGCAAAAACCTTCTCGTGCTCCAATCTGTTTTTTAATGTTTTGTTTGTTAACGTAATTTTGTTTCTCAAGGAGAAACAGGTTCACTTAAAATTGTTTCCCTTTGAAGTTAATGAATCAGTAAAGAGTGCCTTCAGTTTGGGATTTCCAAGTTGTTGCTCTGGGAAAAAAGGGGCACTTCATTCTGAATTATCTCACTAAAATGCGTAGCTGGAGGCTGTAAAGTAAAAAGCAGGTTTGCGTGTGTATTTCAGTGATCTTACGGTATATCTGTGTAAAAGACACGAAGGGGGGGGGTTATAGAAAATGTATGAGTGCACGTGTGCAAGTAGGCAATTTACACAGATTAGAAGAGTAGGTCTTCTAATCCTGTAAGCACTGCATCTGAAATTACTTGCTTTAAAAAAAGCAGAGAGTGTCCCCATTTTCGTAAGTAGTTCTAAGCAGCATTAGTGCCTCTTAGCTGAACATGCCAAACCCGGGATTCAAACTGAATCCTTGCCGGGCAAGGCTTAGGATGCGTCATCACACACAAACGCTGTGGCTAAAACTGATGCTCATACACTAAGTGCAAATTTATGCCCAGGCTTGGCACATGCAAAACCTCTCTGTCTCAATTTTTCTCCTCTTGGCTTTCCTCTCACTTTTCCCCCCTCCTCCCCCTCCCTTTCTTAGAATACTAACTCAGTTTCCTGTGGCACAATCATCCAAAATCTATGACAAGGTGACAGATGCCAGGTGTGAGAACTTTAAAACAGCTCACCTTGAGTGAACTGCAAGCACCTTCAACTTAAACCCAATCGTGAAAAATGAACAACAAAAAAACAAAAACAAAACAAAAAAAAAAACTTGTGCAAAAATAGGCATTGTTTTTAGTTTCACATGAAAGAAAAGAAAACAGATATTTTTCCAGTCCTTTTCTGAGATGTCCCACTGCGTAGGCTGTCAGGGAGAGTGATGAGAAAAAAACGTATGATTACCAGTGTGCTTTTCTATTGCTTGCCCTAGATAGTCTTAGAAAGAGACCAAAGGACAGGAAGAACACAGCGACAGGGGGAAAGCAAAGCATAAAACGTCTGTACTCCTTCTTTATACCCCATCCACACCGAGGAATGGAAAATTAATGTTGAGCACCCACTTAGTAATCAAAGTCCTCTCTCTTGCCTTTCTTTTATTCATTTATCCCATGAGAGAAATAAGTGCTATCGGAAAAGCGAAGGCAGTTGAGAGACAGAGGCAGGAGGACCTTGTGGCTCACTGACTAATGCATACAGGTCAGTGGGAGCTGACAGCATTCAGGCAGTGGCAGCGCTGGGAGAAAACGTGAGTGTGCAATCATCTGTGTCTACGTATGCATGAGAGAGACACTTCTGTAATTGAATGCCCCCGTGTGATTGTATTCAGGCACAGCGGTGTGTGAGCGAGTGTGATGAGGAGGCCTAAGCTCTGGGGTTTTGCTCCTTTCCACGCCACCCCCATTAAGCGTAGCCGGATCGGGGACCGAGAGGCTGAGCGGTTGCGGTAGCTGTCAAGGATTAGCGCTCAGAGGTTAGCAATGTCACACACTTTTAATATACACACATGAGGGTTATACACTTGCACATATTGCCCTCTGTCTTCTTTTCTCTCCCAGTTTAAACAGCTGTGGGACCATCAATTCAACCAACAGCTTCACCGTACAATACCCCAGAACACGGCACGTTAATATTGAATAGCACTAATAAAATATTACAATTACTGTCAGACTGAATTTTGTAATTTTTTAATCTTCAAGACAAAGTTGAGAAGATTAGTAGGGCAAGAAGTAGCCTGGCTTAAACAGCTACTTATGAGCTTAACTATCTTTGGATCCCCCCCCAAAAAAGTCTTATATATGGGTTACAAGTAGAAACACAAAAAACAAACTCAAAGGAGGTTTGAACCTCTCACAACCTGCCTATTTCATTTCATTTGTCCTTTCGTCTACCTCAAGAGGCCTGCTTCACTGTAACTGAGACAGCAGCCTGGGAACAGTTCCTTAGCAACAATGAGCCCCTATTAGCCTTGTGGGCTCTTCCCCTTCCTGGTGTACTCTTGAGCTGTTCGCTGCACAAGTTAATCTTCCCTGCAATACTTACTTTTGAGTGTCAAGCGCAGAAATGCTAATCTATGCCTCCACTCAGGCGTCATAAATCACGGAGTGATGTATCGCTGATGGGCGTACAACAGCTAAGTCCTCTTCCTGGATTTTCCAACTTTGATGTTAATCATAGAGTAGAATGGGCCCAAACTTCAGGGAGAGGACTCCAGTGATTAACTGTTGGGGTACAATTAGAGGTATCCTTGTGGTGATGGAGAGGACTTATTAGCCATCCATCACCAGGTGTCAGAGAACTTTTAGCATCGGCTCTTTGCATTCACAGGTGCAACTCTAGACTGGGGGATGAAATCATCATAGATGGAGATATATAGTTTTTTTTTTAATCCAGCTGAGAATGTGGCCATAGACAGTGAAGCATAAAAAGTAGCAAGATTTTTGCATTAAATGGGTGATATTTTGAGAAACACATTAAAAATGGCTTTATTTCTATTTGTGGATGTGTACGTTTCAAATATATGCACCTTATTATGCAAATAGGTTTATGTCTTTCAGTGTCATTGCCATTTGCATTATCAGTGCGCTTAAGTGAGGAGTATATGGCAGTATCTGACTACACAGGAAGCCTGTGTCACCTTTCTTGCTAATCTCATTAGATCTCTGGATGTAAGCATACACTTTAGATTGTGCGTGACAGTGTGCTGGCATGCCAAGGTTGTTACAACGCTGTCTGATGGTTATCAAGGTTGAACGTCCACCGCAGCAAGTCTTTGATACAGTGTAGGAGAAATGCGTATCTGTGGGAGGTACTTGCCTTGACATGCTGGCATGGTTCCACTCCACGTCCCATTGCTGGTGCAGGTCCTGGTGAAAGAGTTGTCCCCTCCCACCATCACATACCCCAGTTGGCACATGAACGTCACATTCTGGCCCACTGTGGTGTCGTCGCCAAACCTGAGTCCATTTGCTGGGATACCGGGATCGCCACAGGTGATCACTGCCATTGGTAGTAAAAAATAAGCGCTGCATCAGAAATCATCCTTAATGGTGTGGAGTGAACTTCAACATGAAACATAAAGCAACATTTCTATTTTTAGTCTTCCTTTGTATCATTAATCATTAGTTCTTTTCCTAATCTTGCATTTATTTGTGCCACTGCGACATCACTGTGTACTTCATCATGGTTAGGATTATTCTTTTCAGGTTTAACCCCTTAGCAGTCCTACAAATTTACAATTAGTCCCCTAAACCATCCAATGTACCGTGGGCGGTACGTCCGACTGCTAACAGGTTAATAATGATACAGCGGTCATACTAATATTTTATCAAATGACTGAAATATCTGTGACATTTACAGCTGTGCATGATGATCATTGCTACACCTCGACCCATAATTCATACCCAAGACAGTGACAAGAACAGGAGATGTCTGCACAAAAAACACAAAAAACTTAACGCTGCGTGTTTGCCACCAGCTAGTCAGTAGTTATATGTTCGTGACTGGTAAATGTTAATTGGTTCTGAGTATTCTTTCACTCGTATGAATCAAATTGTTCTGTGTAGTCGTGAATTGCCAGAAGCAACGTTGGTTCAACTTAAGTATGACTGATCAGGGTATTGCCTTTTGTGTGATTTGGCAGGTCTGTAATGAGCTGTTGGACATGAGAGAGTAGAGAGTAGCAATTCACCTCTGAGGGACATTTATCTGTAAAGAATTACTGGAAAAACTAGCTTGGCTGCAGTTTTACAGATACATAAAAGTACTTTTCTTCTATGTTGTTTGTATTTCAGCTGGTCTTTGTAATCGATGAGGCTACCAGTGTGGCTTCTGGATCTGAATAGTGAAGCCAGTGAACACTTTGAATCTGCTTTCTTTCTAATGGAGAGCATGGGGTGACTTATCTATCCCAAAGGAAAAAGACAGCACTGTTCCCTTGAACTATGACCTCAGTAAACACTTCCCTGGAGTGTTTTTGGTCATAATTATAGTTTTAAGTCACATTTCATACAACATTTATTTTGTAAAATATTTCCCATTTGCAATCAAAAAGGAAGGTAAAACAGGTTAGGTATCTGAACTGGTCAACACTGTGAATGAAAAGGTGTGTACCATTTCCCTCGGTTTTTGCATCCAGCTCTTTACTTGTTGCATTCTGCTACAAAATATCAAGATAGTGAAAGTCAGAATCCCCACCTTTGGGCTTTAAGAGTCAGCTTCACAAGCCAAAAGGTGCCTACAGCCACCATTTATGTGAATTTATGTTTGTAACAAAAGTTGCTTACTTGGACTTTTCAGAAAACTGAGATTCAGTTTATTTCATTACAATCCTTAAGTTCTTAAAAAGAAAGCTACTTCCATTGGATGTCCTGAATGGGAGCTGAGAGCAGAATATAGTGACGTGGGGTTTTTAATGATACTTTTAGATACACTGAGGTTTTAGTCTGAATGTAATAATTTTGTAACTGAAAGCAACATACAAGCAGTTTCTCAAATGACTTCTAAAAGCCCACGTGACAAATAAATGATAGGTGGACAGTAATAAAGTAACAATGAATCATTATTTTATAAAGCAGCTCTTTTAGATGCCGTCTAAGGAACACAGTATTCGTTGGCCTCTTAAGTGTTCGAGGCATTAACATAACTAAAAATGATTTCCAGGCATCTGACATAATGTTATGTGAAAATAAGGAATAGCTACATTGCCAGTTTGCTGTGCACATGACATAAGACTAAGTGACACCTACATTGTCATAATACTACTAACAGTAATCGTAATGTTTACTTGCACTTCTCCATTCTAGATTACGCCACTCTAGTTATATAATTTGTCTAAATCAGCAGAGGAACTAATAAAAATAATAATAATGTATTTTGTGCAGTCTCTTCTTTTCATATCCCTACTCTTGGCTTCTTTTCATGGCACAATTTCTCCAAAGTAAACAGATGGCTGAGTGTTGGCCCAGTATGTTGTCAGGTCTTAACCCAGTGCTACCGCTGATGAAATTATAGTTGCCAGCCTTTATTTGATTGCTTTTTCATAGCCCTCGTTTCATCTCGGAGGCTCTAATTTGTGCATACTTATTACAAAATCTTTCCTGACTTGTTCACCTTAATGTAAGAAGTCAGTTTGATGCATATGGCTGTCACTGCTAACGCCTCCTCCCTTAAATTAATTTCTGTTTGTTTATTTTTGGTTATTGCCAAGGAATTCAGCACTTGGAGATGTATTTCCTTCATGGGTAAAACCAGCTTTGTATTCTGACAGAACACATGGGAAAAGCTGGATTCTTCATTTTACGAGATTGAAACTGATGTCACTATGTGAACAAACTAGTCTCATTTATTTTGAAAATTAACATAAAACCATAGCAGCACCCTTTATGCTTGTTTGGCATGTATAGTCATTTGTTGTGTGCCTTTTCTGTTAACTGAAGCAATGCCGTACTGCATCCTTCTTACAGATTCCTGCCCCAAATATCATAATCTGACAAAGAATAAACTGCAGTGGAGCTGGTACTGATACATTTGATGTTTAATGTGCAGTTGTCATAATATTCCTCACCCAAAGTGGTTCTGTGGCTCTGCACACAGTAACTTACTACTTATTAAACTTGTTATCAACTTCCAGTCTAAGTCAGATAACGTAAACCATGTTTCGAATTCTAAGAATTTAGCCCTATGATATTTGACTACTCATGTAATAATGTAGTAATTACACTACAAGGACAAGCTTTTCTGTGGTGCATTGTGGAGGAAAGATAACATCTGGGTCTCACCAAAGCATGTAAGGTTCATTTTCTGGTAATATTGACTGTCTGAACAAAAATTTGCCTGTGTGATATTTGACAGGAAATGTGAAAAATACTCAACTTCAGATAGGCTTACACCAGCCATTCCCTAAGTCAAGAGTGCTGCCGCTTTTATTTATTAAATAAAGTTTAGTATTTACCAGTAAGATTTATCATCCTCTCGAAATTGATGTCAAATAAATTATTAGTTATTAGTTAGATATTTACTATTTAATATACATGCTGCAGATATAGCCACTGAAAACTGCCGCTTTCAACAAGAGGTCAGCCGGCTGACTGTTAACTCACAGCGAGCTCTCAGCTGAATGTCAGAAGCTAGGCATCCACCCTTTCTTCTCCTGGGGAGCGTCTACTTTCCACTATAAACACGCCTCTTTACTCAACTGCAGAGTGTGTGTAACTTATCAGCTGTTTGGGCTGCATAGCATTTTTGGGGGGGCTGGTTCAGGAAAATACAAAGAAAATGATTGTTTTTGTACCAGTTTTGTGTAAATACCTGCTGTCAGTGATTCCTGGGATACTGTTTATATGTGTTAAAATCACAAACGGCCTACAGCGGATCTTTGGCCAGAGTTTTTTTGCAGTCATTGGCCTTCTGAGGGGGGGTGGGGGGGTGAGAGAGCTGTTTGAACGGTCACCTTATTGTGACAAAGGAATCCGCTGTCTGTAAAAGTTACCCTTAAAATTACTGCAGCGATTTATCAGAGATACGCAGAGCATGGATGGATAGTTAAAAAAATGCAGGTGGTTCACACCCGGCAATTTACTGCATAACATATTTTTACAAGTTCTTTTTTTCAAAGTGTGTATTTATTTATTTATTTATTTATTTATTTATTTATTTATCATCAGCATCCAGACGGTTCTTTTCCATACATTTTGAGTGGTTTTTCTCTACATTCAGGTTGAGGGTTCATATGATGATGATGATGATCTTTGATCGCACAATCACAAGAAACAATATAGAAAATGTATAAAATAGGTATCAGCTGTTGATAATCTCCCGATTGCATAGTTGATAAAATAAATCATATCCTATGGGGGCAGAGCTGTTTCAATGGTCGCTCATGAAGACCAGGGTGAACAACAATAACTGTTACTTCTCTGCTACTTGTCAGCATATGGAGTTTTTCCTATAACTAAATAAATAAATGCTGCCTGTTGGACATTTATTTGCAGGACATGTACCAGTTGTTGGACTTGGAGTGTCCCATTCAGAGCACAAAAGTTTTAAACTAGAGTATTAATATAAATCGCAAAGGTGATAGACCAAGATTAGCTGCAGACAACTTGAGAAAGCATGCATATGCTATGACTGTTAATTTATTTGGAAAGCGTAACTGGCGAGAATTACCAATAGTTTTAAGCACAGTGCCAAATCTTTGTGGTTCACTCCTACACTCAGTGTTTCACTCATTAATTATCAAAAATATTCAGAAAAAAGTGCCAAATATTTCTGACAGAAATACACACACTTAAACATATTGTTGCGCAATCGCAGCGAGTTCAAATTTCAATTTAAAATTTGCATTTTGTATAAGAACATTAGCAATGCAATGAAATAATCATTTTATGCTTTCATGTTCAGAAACACAAGTCAGCAATAATCTGTCCAGCTTGTTCGGTCGTTTAGCCTTTGTTGGACCAAGGACACGCCTAAAACCTGCAGGACACCGGCCCTGGAGGCCTGGAGTTGGACACCTGTGCTCTAAAGCAATGCGGCTCCACACTGCTCCCCCTGGTGGTTACACAAGATATTACCACTGGTTTTCCTGTCATTACAAGCACCCATCACCCGGCAATTGGCCAGAATTCCACACATGACAATACCGTCACTGATGAGGTGGCCATTATAAGTGTCTGTATCTGTACGAGTGAGTATTTATCTATCTGCATTGTTACTGAATCACAATAACTCAAAGAACAGACACAGTTTGACATCTTCAAGATAAAAAGTCATTGACAAAGAATGATAAATAAAACCTGTTTTTTGCATGTTATTCTACAAATTTCAGGCAACAAAAACAAGAAAGCATGGCTTTCACATGCTGCGTCACATATGCTTATGGTCTGGATTACACCTGGGCTTCTGAATCTGTACTAAGATTATGCACAGTATATATGAATGTTCACTGCATATTTTGTGTTGCCACATTTTATATGCACAGTTCATTTGAAGCCACCGAAATTACACATTATCTTCAATTAAGCATGGCACATCTCTTCAAACCCATGTCAGAAGCAGCTGGCATAAATCAAGGACAGCTCATAAAGATTTTAGCCGGTGTCAGGTGACCATCTTGTGAGGAGGTGGAAAAGTCATCTTTCCAGAAGAAAGGCGCAGAAAGAAAGAGGAAAAAAATTTGTGTATACAGTTGTAAATCTTTAATTATGCATGTCTATCTATGGGAAGTGAAAACTCAAGTTAAGCAAGCACAGTGCACAACAGCTGCAGGCTACCGACTTCAACAATTTAACTTAACTATGCAACTTCTTTCAGTGCACTTACTTGCTGTGAGAAATTAAGTCAATAAGCTGCTTCCAGTAAATCTTCATGAACATTTTTTTCTTGCTTCTTGAAAGTTTAATATTGTTTTCTGTACTGTGATATACTTTGGGAACGTTAGTGACATATACTCAGATTCTACAAGGAGGACAGGCTGAGATGGAAGCAGGTGATACACTGTGGTGACCCCTAAAGGGAGCAGCCGAAAGAAGAAGTAGTAGAAGAAGACCAAGAAGTGACACATGATGCTATATCACTGATTTTCTTTTTCTAAAGCAATGTGAGCCGACCAATTACTTAGTATATTTTAGCTACTTAGGAAAAAAGAACTCCAATTTGAAGAAACAGATCGCTTCAGAAATGCCTTCATGTACAGTAATCCCTCTGCACCACTTGGGGAATCCAATACTACACTTAAACTGACAGAGAAACGCACAGACAAGAGAAGCGAAAATATGATGATAGCAGAGAAATCAACTGAATTAGAGTGTATTAAACGGCAAATATTCTCACTTTAAAAAAAAATCCCTGTTCGCCATTTATTTGACAAAGTGCTTTTATGGTTTTAGTTCACAATTCACTGAGCAACTCTCTTTCCTTAATACACTTCATCTCATTTGCTAATTTCTGAACATGCTCAATAAATTTCATGTATCATCCGCTAAGAGTTTCTGGGGAGAAAAAAATAAAGTTCAAACTTTTCTCTCTCCCCTTGAGAGTGTTGTGTGACTTTGATCTGGTAACCTACATGATCGATTACCCATGAACCGTGAAAATGATTGCCTCCTTAATGAAGGCACAGTGAGCCAATCCTGGCATCCTAAGTGTTGATGTCCCTGAACTGACCACTAAACTTTAATGTGAAGTGATAGTACAAAAGAGAAGAAGTTTGGGGATGAGCACGCTCCAAAGTGGGAAAAAGAGCTAAGAAAGCTCCTCTGCTTTACTGCACGTTTGATCATTATTATTCAAACCCATTTTTTCACCAGTCGTTCGCTTTCTTCACTCCTTCCCTGTGCATCTCTCTCCAGAGACCCATTTCAATCCAGAATTGAAAATTACATCCACACCATTTATCTTTTTCTTGTCATTCAATAACAAGCAAAAAGAATAAGGAAGAGAGAATATGGGGACTTTCAGAGAGAAGAACAATGTGTAATTTTGTTTCAAAGTCATCCTGATGCAAACTGAATATAGATTGGAATACTTCTTAATTACTCTGAGGCTCATTTGCCAAGATCCAGACAATAAAAACTGCCTGACATCTTTGATGCTTCACTGGGCGAACAGGCTCAAAGAGATTTGTCTTAATCGATATCATATATTTCAGCAGCGCTCCCGGCACACGTGATTTCAGATGAAAGAGGGCACAACATCAGGTTCAATGTCCATCGTGTTCAACTTGATCATACATTATACAAAGAACGAGACTGGCTGCTGATTCAATCTGCTATGCTAACAGTACATTCGCTGTGCATTATTGTGCTGATCATCCTAATCGTTCTTGTCCTATTTTCTAACTTTTTCTTTGTGTGCGCGTGTGTTCTAGTTCTTGAGTAACAAATTCAACGACTGCCAGACTTAAGTGTGACTGAACTAAATGTGATTAACGAAGCAACACTGAAATCCCTAAGATGTGTGTTCCCTGTTCACCGCAGTGACAGAATCTGGACTATGCCTGACCACATCTTATTGATCAGACACCGATCACAGCATAGCCTTTAACAGTGACTACTGACACAGCTGCTCTTCTTCTCATTTTCTAATGAAAGTGTGAACGCTGTGCAGCGGAGCGGCCTTTTAAAGAAATCCACCATGACTACCAGACACGACTACATCCTCCTTTCATGTGTCTGTGTGTGCAAAACTCACTTGTGCAGTTTGGAGCTGTGCCAGACCATGTGCCATTTGCCAAACACTGGCGTGTAGGCGAACCAGTGAGGAAATATCCTTCCATACACGAATACACGATAGAATGGGAGAAGGTTGTGCCATCCAAACGGGAAATACGACCGTGAGCCGGGGTACCTGGATTCCCGCACTGTACCGCTGCAATACAGGGGAGAAAAGACAGGATGTGAAGGTCAGAGGTGTAAAATAGTAATGGATTTTCTATTTTCCATATCAGTGGGTTAGAAGCCCCGAAGGTGGCTTCAAGATGACTTCTGAAGGTCCCGAGGGGATTAAATGGCTGTGAAAGGACATATTCACGCACTATACTGTGAATATAAATATTTATTTATGGAATAATTGCTGTTTTGCTTTTGACCTGCTGTATGTTTGCAGTTTCTTGACTTGTGTCTGATTAACTCTCAGGTGGAAAGTCTGCAAAGGGCAGACTGAAATCCTCGGCTTCTGTTCCTCATTATGTCTTTGTGCCTCCCATTACGGGACGTAAGAAAGCACTGCTGCTTGTTTTTTAGTTTTTTAGAGAAGCTGTGAATAAAGCAGTAAAGAACAACTAATCTATAGAGCTTTATTAAGAGAGGCTAATGAGCAGAACTGATGCAGTGGTACACAAAACCTTATCGCAGTATTGATGAGTCATCAGTAAATAAAGTGCAGTTTGTGTACTGTCAAGTCCTACAGTACATCTATGGTGATGGCAGTGCTGTCTAAAAGCGAGGGGGTAATGTGAACAGTTACAGCTAAAGACTCAGGGCGCACTTATAATGATAATAAAGCTGAAATGTGGCTGAGCAATCCTATGATAGGGAGAAAAATTTTTCCAGTGCGGTAGAAAAGCACCGGGGATTGGGATTTTTTTTTCCCCCACTCAGGAATCCCTTTCAGTGTTTTTGAAATCTGCTCCTTTTTTTTCACTGAAGAGTAGAGAGGACAGTTTGTTTCATGCGTTTTTCTTCTGCTTCAAATCATGTCTAATTACAAAAGTGATCTGCTCTCTCAATCACCTAATTGCCTGGAAAATGTGAAATAGTGATTCTAGTAGGAGACAGACGTGTTGCAAGTGTGGTGGTGATTTCTCAATTAACATGTGTGCATACGCAGAAACTCACTGAGGTGCAAACGCATCACTCAGCCACATACCAACATACCAACTGCCAGCATGCTCACAGCTCTGTTCTGCAAATGCACACACACACACATGCGTGAGCACATATAGCCACAGAATGTATGCATGTGCTGTTGTGTGTATTTACCAAAAATCAAGTGCGGCAGCCTCTTTTCTCACCTCTTTTTAATAATTCAAGATCGACACGATGACAGACACACAAAACAGACCCTCGTGGCAACGTGAGATGTATATCATGTTGAATATCCACACTGAGTGTTTTTCCGGAGACTGTAAAGGGGTTGTGGATAATGAATGGATGGACTTTAACATGAGACAGGGTTTTAGATCACAAGCAGACAGCACAGAAACACATTCAGGCTCCAGTGAATTCCTGTCCCCCTCCCTGACTCCCGACGGTTGAATGGATAGTTAAAGTAATCTTTAAATCAGGAGTTCAGCTGGGAGATGGACAGATAAAAAGCTAGTGGAAGAGAGACGCTTGGTAATAAAGAGAGGGAGGAAAAGGTTGAACACAAAGTGAGGGAATGAGAGGGAAGAGGGTTAGATGGCAGATAGGGATGAGAAGATGGCTAGACAACGAGATTAAGACCGAGAGAAATCAGAAGAGGAGGGGCCTGTGTTGGAGAAATGAACGCTAGAGAAAGGGGGGAAAAGAAAGAAAGAAAGTCAGGAGATGGAATGAAAGGCAGAGTAGTTCAGAGGACCTGTGCATTTGCTGATTATATTAAAAATGACACTGGCACTCATCCAAGCTGGTGGACAGTAAGCTGAGGAGCGGAGAAGCAGTCAAACATTTGCATCAATATCCGGTTGACCCCTGGGGCTAATTTATGCAAGATGTAGAGCTGGCATTCTGTGAACTAATATCTTCAAAATCCACAATGATTCATTTATCACAATCCAAAAGGAACTTGGCTTTAGGTGTCTAGAATTAATGAATTTCTCGGCTGCAATCTGGAAGCTAGTCACAGCACCATGTGCTGGCAGAAAATACCAGACTGCAGCAGAGAGCTATTTATCCATCTGCTGCAGTGCTGCGTTTGCGAGCTTTTTGTATGTGCTAGAATGCAGCCAATATGTTGCATACATTGTGTGTTTAAGCAAAGGCCACGTCCTGTTTGAAAACTGTGGATACCACAACCGATGCTGATTCTTTATTTTGCACTTGCACAATGCTTAAAGTGGCTTTACAGCAATTTGTACTATACTTTTAGAAACTTTGAAAGACTTCTGAAGTTCTCTTCTAACTTTAAGCTTCAGGCCTTCCCATAATGCAATCATTGTCTTTTATTAAATCGTAAGCCCAAGGGTTCTTTCACGTCTTTTTTGGTAACATGAGTTGTATATTAAAACTTGAGACTCTCTCCAAAGAGACAATCCTTTTCATCAGTTGATTACTGCTTCCTGCAACAACCAAACCCAACTTTATGTGGTGGAGTGCCCCTTTGACATAAAGCAGAGGTTCAAGAACTTTGTCTGGATAACCCTACAGTATAATCCAAATAAGGTTTAAAACGGATAAAGTCTGATTGCTGAAAAAAGAAAAGCCCTTCAAACCAGATATCTGGTAATATTCAGTGCTGCATGTTTCTTTTCTTTCTACCAGAAAGACAAGAAACTATCGGGATTCAGTACGTGGCCTCATGGAACCACACAGCTCCCTCTGTATCTGTAGGAGCTTAAATGTGTGCCTTTGTGTAAAGAAATATTTGTGTGTTAGCTCTCAGTTTGACTCCAGCGTGTTTCATACATAACATCAAAGCGATATTTTAAAGGTTTCTCTTACGTTTGCAGAACGGCTGTTTGCCAGACCAGGTCCCATTGGGGAAGCAGATCCTCTCTGCTGAGCCATACAGTGTATGTCCCACTGCGCAGGTAAAGCGCACTTTGCTGCGCACTTTGAAGTTCCCTGCCTCCCTGCTGGCATGGGCAGGTGTGCCTGGATCCCCACAGGTGCCCGTCGAGTCACCTGCAATGAGAGATAAAACAGACATTGAGCAATGAAAACAAGACGGCGAAGATGCCATCCACCTCACGGACTGTGTGTACGTTCTCAGATGGATCCTTTTAAGTTTGTACGGCAGTGAATTGCAACGCAATGTTCCTGTCTGCCAGACAGAAGACAATACAAAGAGGGCTTAGACTCAAACTGGATAACGCCTGAGTCTTCCAGGAACCAGTCGTAAAACATACAATGCACCGATGAGCAGTTGTCACCATGCCAACAGCCTGGAGGACCAATACTTCTCATAATTTTGACACCAGGAGCTTTCTGTCCATAAAATCAGCAGAGCTAGCATTAAAAGGCAACCAGCTGTGGCTATGAGAAATGATGAATACACTTTGACCTCTAGAGATAAATGCTTTTTCATTATCTTGAAATATACCTTCTGTCCTTTGTTCTGTGGAGGAACATACAGTACTTTCAGTGTCACCACCTCACACCACCTATCATGCATGTCTGTGAATTTAATCATAAAAAAAGTTGCTGTCTCTCTCACTAATTCCCTTTATGTTTCCATTAGTCTTGTCTCTGTCGGCTGAAAGAAATAGGACGTGTTCTCCTTCTAAGCCATCGGAAATGAGAGAGAGATGACAGGTATGGAATCAGGGCAGTGACATCACTGCTGAAGATTTTACGTTGCAATGAAGACCAAGCCTAGCTGAGTGGTGCATTTTTTAGGATGGAGTCTTTGGTGGGGTAGTTTTGTATTCACTAGAGACATCCATCAGACCAAAGGAAAGAAGCACATAACACTAACTGCCACTACTATTGTTGCTGCATTCTCTCACAGAAAGGAGTTGAAGATAGAAAAAAAGTCCAATGTTTGGCTTCAGAGGAATAACAGAAACAGAGAGATACAGATTTATAGAAACAGACATTTAAATTGATAGAAGGATAGATGCACAGATAGATGATCTCTCTGATGGATTTATATTTATTGGCTTTAAGATCCTGTTCCTTGAGCTGTGCACACACCCCGTGCATCACTGCCTGCTTGATTGCAGCTGTTCTCCGTTTACACAGCAGCAAACAGCTGCAGTAATACTGGACTTGTTGACAAAGCCTCGCTGCACAAACACAAAGCTCATATCTTCTACACACATCCCACTGCTCAAATGTGCACAAACTGCATTTGTCAGGTCAAGGGCCCACAGCTGGAGAAGATAAGTTTGTGTTTGGCCATGAATGTGTATGTCATTCCATATATATGTGTGCCATTACAGCATACATGTGAGTGTTTGTACTTGTTCTCATCTCTGTGTGCAAGTTCAGAATATGCATGCATATCGCGCATGCCAATGTTGTGCGTATGTGTCTCTCTATGTGTGTGTGGGTGTGTATATATGGCTCACAGCAGCTGTCGGTACTTCATTAGTCTCCTCTGGTTAGGTGAGGCAGGCTGACTCGGCATGCACTGTGACAGCTATAATCTTACTAATTGGGATGGTGGTGATTTGGTTTGAATCGGGAGTTAATGTCCGTTCACCAGGCTCCCTTTGTGAGGAAATAATAAGGCCTTCAACTCAGCCATGCAACAGACTAGGACAAAAGGGGAATGGACTGGCAAGAGGTTTTAAGACCCATCGCACTAATTAACAAGAGACGGCAGATGAGAGCGGAAGGATAGATGCATAGACGGGCGCATGGATGAGAACCGCTGCTGACGCTGGGCTGGACTTCTGATTAATTTATAGTTATAACTTATTTTGTTGCTACTGGCGATGAATACTCTCTGAGAATGATAATGTGGTATTTCCATAGCACTGATAAAGCTATCTCTAGACAATGTAGCAACCTTTCTGTAAACAAATATGGCCATCAACAAAGCAGGAGCTTAGAGTGAAAGGACGAGACATCATGTAGAGAGAGCGAGAGAAACATTTAAACACAGATTAACATTTTCTAGATAGATAACATGGTTGTAGTAATTCTGACAATTCTTCAGGCTGATGTGCCAGTTAAAACTAGGTGCTAAAGTGTACACTTGCACTGATTTAAAACTCTGCAGGCATTTGGTGCTTCGCAACTTCACTTCCTGTAGGCAACAACCGAGCTCCAGCTGTGTTGTGGTTCCTGTTTCTGCTACAGCTGGAACAGATGTTTACTGCCAGGTCTAAATTCATCAAGCCTCATAATGATGAGCTAGTGAGCTACAATGGTACATTCTTCCCATTATAAGCTGCAGTTTTCATAGTTAATTAGGAGCTCTGCTGCAGTTACATATAATACTGTGTGACAACATGATGGAACGAAGCCTTCCCGATCTGTATCAACATAATCCGAGTTCTGAGTGTCACAGTTTCCTGCTCGAGTCTGTATTTAGATACTGCACCTATAGCTTATAGTTCTGCTTGTCAGTCCACATTAGGGATTCGTTAGAGATATGAAGGTTTCATCTGTTCTTTTTCTGGGCCTGAGTGACTGCACTGCATACATCTGTCAGAGTGAAAAAAAAAAGAAAAGATAAAATGGCTGAATTCTTTAAATAAAAATGTATACATAAATTTTAATAGTATGCACACATCCAACTGTTTAGTTTAAAAGTTTAAAGATGTCTTGAAACTTAACAAGCTTGTCAAACTTATCCCCTTAGTTTGTAGTAGTGATGTAAATTTACACATGTCAGGAATGTCTCTTGCAGCCACTTTTATATGCAGTATTTCATATTCCAGCTATAATCAGTTAAACAGTTGTACAATGTATGGGTGAGTGCAGGCCCTTTGCTAAAACCTGAAAAATACTGCCACAGCATAGTGGAACAGTGGTTAGCACCGACGGCTCACAGCAAAAAGGTTCCTGGTTTAAGGCCAGACTGGGGCCTTACCGTGTGAAGTTTGTTTGTTTGTCCTTTCTGTACCTGTGTGGGTTTCCTCAAATTACTCTCTCTACCTTGCACAGTCCAGACAATGTCAGATTATTTGTTGATTCTAAATTCACAATGGGTGTCAATGTGAGCGCAGACGCTCCTCTATCTCTCTTTAATTCTGTGACCTGCCCACCCATGATGTGGAAGAAAATGGAAGGATGGGTCTGAAATTTCACTAAATGTCTTGAAACTTATCAATGCTAAAGATAATTAGCTTTTTGTTAGTGATCTTGTAAAGTGTGTCCAAAGAATATACAAGGAGACCTGTAGGTGCATACCTGGGGATGTCTGTGTTTTAAAACCAACGCCTTTGAAGGGGTCTGAGAAAAAGGCTTCGAATGGCAAGTTTATATGTTTAAGTGACGCATAGATTGAGTTGCCTGGCCTCAATAACCACAGTTATGCAAGGAGGATTATAGGTGAGTCATTCAACACCAAGAACACACCACCACCTGCTAAGCAAAGAGGCAGAAGCATCATGCCCTGTGGCTATTTTCCTTCCAGTGCAACTGGTGCAGTACTATGCCAAAGTCTTGAGCCATTTCTCTTTTCTTAATATTTTGCTTCTGAGGAACCAGATTTTCTTATATTTGTTTAAAGTGGTGTTGAGTAGTAGCTCCCCAAGGTTTTCTTTTTAACTGCACAAATAAGTTCCCAGAGATGATTCAGGATCATTTTTGATCACAAATGTATTTGGTTTGAAAGAAGTACTTTACGTTTAAGCAGCATCTGCTATATTAATACAAAATGTGTTTCAGCACAAAGTTATTTAATCTGCATTTTGTAATCTAAGTATATACAAGGAAAGTCGATATTTTGTGACCATATTTTTCCTTTAACTTCTTGGGTTACAGTAAACTAAAGGTTTCTTATTTCCAATTGAATTATCTGGTTGTTGTGACCCAGGACTGTTGGTCTGCAGGACAAGTTTCTCCAGGGATTTACTCGCTTAACAGCAACATTATAGATAGTCAGGAACAGATTTTGGCTTCAGTGGTCAGATTTTTCACGAGTTGATGTTGATTATGTTTAGACAAGTTAAATAAAAAAACAAGACTGGCGTTAAATGTTTTATTTATTTAGCCAAGAATAATGCAGTGTATAAAACTAGGTTTCCTCTGATAAAAACAGGAATTTTAGAGTAGTGTTAGAGAGGGTTAGGGTTAACCCTATTTGAGCTCATGCTGATCAAATTGCCTTGCCATCAAACGCCAAACTGCTTTTAAAATCTAGGTGATAGGCAATAAAAATAAAAATACCTGGAATCATTATCTAGCTTTGTAAAACCAATAACAGTACAATTATATGCTTTATTGGTTCACAAGACAATGTAGGTTCCAAGAAAGACTAAACCTTTGTGCATTTGTTTTCTCTGTTTTATTTTGCAATGAAATAATGAAATGAAAACTATGGGGGATAAATTTGAGACTGTGCTTCCTTGTGCATCTGCGCTCTGCCCTAGGAATCTAACGTCTGTATTGCCTCAGTACTTCTCAACTGTCTGAGCAAATAGAATATAAGTGTTAGGTAAGTAGAGAGTTCACACTCCCATTGAAAGAAGTGGAAAAAATAACCGCCACACAAGTCTGCTTACAAATATTACTTCTGGGTCAGTGAGTTGAGCAAAGAAAGTGAACATTCAGTAAAGAGAATCCACTTAAATGGTCAGGAATGCTTAAGTGTGATGAGAGGAAAGTGCTCAGGGGGGATTAAGGGGGAAGTTTGAAGTTCTGCAGACATGCTATAAGCCTCTCTCTTTCTTTACAGTTTTCAGAAAACATCAAGGGGAGATTCACGGGCCTAATGTACTGAACATAGTACACAAAGTTGTACAAGAAAAAAAAAAAAGAGGTTTTGTCAAGGGTGATATCGCTCACTCAATTTGAGTGTCTCAGCAGGAAGCAACAATTGCGTCGCCAAATTCTTTGGTTTAGGTCCAAATATATACATCCGGATCATGAAGAGAAACGATGAGTAAGGGCTACGGTTCGGCACTAATCTGGCTCTGTGTGCTTTTTCTGGTCTTCATCAGCGAAATGCAGATATGTCAGATAAACAGGAGTGCCTGCTCTAAAAGTGAAATACTGCTTTGAGTAGATGGGAAAATTGTTCGCAATAATGAGCAAATGTACATTAAATCCAGTAAGAGCTCCACAGGACCTTAATTTGTGGGCAATAATTGGCTCACTTGGCTGATATCTGACCCAATATCCCATTAATACTAGCACACTGAAGCCTTTCGACATTGTGTTGCTGTATTCATTTGAATAATCTGGTAGGTTTCAAATAAAATGCAGTCTTATCTCTTCGTTTATCTACGTCTTGCACTATTCCACAAATACAGACAGTTTTGACTTAATTTGTCTTAAAACCTGATTGAAAAATTGAACTAAATTATGTGTGTGTTGCTCCTAGCATTGACAAATTCAATTTATGCTATTTAACAGTAGCCTGTGCCATTATTCAGAGAACTGTGGACATTTCTTCTGTAAAAAAAAAAAAAAAGATGCTGCTGCTGAATTTTTCACCACAAACACAATTCCATTAAACTCTATCATACTGGAGCATGTTGAGATATTCTAGAGATATCTCAAAGCTCCACAAATCAAACCAAAACCACACTTAACCTCTTGTGTGGATATCACAAAAGGTTAAGTGTGGAAAATGTGTTTAAATAAAACCTTTGAATCACATCACTTTCCATTAATTTAGAAATACAAATTAAAGGACAGAGATTAAATGCACTTTACAAAATAAACTAAAATACCCGAATACTGATTTAAAATTCTCAAGGCAAAGTAAAAAAGCCAGACTTTTATTGCTTTATAGCTTGAATGTGTTCAGGACTCCCTCTGTTTATATGCACACCTAAATTTCTGTGTATCTGTGTACCTGAGCAGTGGGGCAGTGGACCACTCCAGTGTCCATTCAGTTGACAGGTGAGTGATGAGTCTCCTATTAGCTGGTGGTCTCCGAGGCATGAGTAGCGCACTGTGGATCCAAATGTAAACTTCTCCCCACTCATGACTGCGTGCGGAGGTATACCTGGATGACCACAGTCCACTTCTGCATGATAGAGAGGGAGGAGAAGGGCAATTATTAGCATGAAAAAATGGATGGGTGGATTTTTGTTGCATGCCTCAACACACCTGATGAAATCACTATTCACACGATTACCGGTGCCAGTGGTATTCTTTTAAAAAAAATTTTTTTTAAACTATTTCATGAGAAACAGTTTAATAGAAGAGGAACCATTTTGACTGCATTATTTACCATTTCATTGAAATATCAAAATATCTAGTGAGCTGAGGTGGATGAAGCACATGCAGTGTATCATTGTGACACAGCCGGACATGAATGACGCCCTGTCAGAAGCAGCAGCTAGTCCAGGACACTTCTTTGATTTCTAATCTATAAGGAGTTCAGAGAAGCTTGTGTTGAAAATGCAGTCTGAGTAGATTAATGTGCCTTGGTGTGTAAAAGAGAAATTTATTTGCTTTCTGCACTGTCGTAATCATTTTTCATCTAAAAGTGATTTGATGCACAGACACACTGTGAGTACTGGGACAGTTACAGATGTGTTTGTTGTTTGAGCTCTTTATGCTACAAGATAATCAATTTGAAAGAGATAAATGATACCAAGTTAAAATGCCAGGTTTAAGTTCATACAACTTAAACACTGAAAGAAAGAGTTTGAATGATACAAATGAAGTCAAATGCTTTGATATACAGTTGTGCTCAGAAGTTTACATACATTCATCACAGGCATGAATATTGCAGTAATTTTAATTATGTGCTTTGAATGATTTCTTTGAACTGTTGTTTTTCCAGGGTGGAATGGTTGTACAGTATACATACATAATGACTTTAAAAACCAAAATTGGGTGTGCAAGTTTGAATTTATTTAGGATTTTTTATAACCCACACAGGGTATGAATACACGTCCAAGTATGTATATTCCATATTTGGTTTAAGTTCCTTTAGCAAGTTGCAGTTTGACCAGAAGCTCTTGTTAGCTATCAACAAGCTTCTGGTAGAAATGTGGCTGGATGTTTGACCACTCTTCTTTGCAGAACTGGTAAAGTTCATGACTTTCATAGCACAGATGTGGCTTTTAAGCAAAGTCTGGAGATTTTCAATAGGTTGAGGAAAACACCGAACTATGTCTACTTTTAAATTGCCTAGCTGTTGCTTTGAGGTGAAGTTGAGTAACTGCACTTTGTGCAATGTACCAGTACCAGTGGCAGCAAAACAACCCCAAAGTATGATGCTACCACCACCATGCTTGACAGTTGGTACAGTGTTCTCAGATTAGAAAGTCTCACTTTTACTCCTCTAGGAGGTATTTGTCATTCTGGTCAAATACCTCCTTCTTTGTCTCGTCTGACCATTCTTATGCTGCCAAAGACAAACTACTAAAGTTGAAAGAAATTGTGATGAGTGTATGTAATAGTCTGACCATAACCAGAGAACAACGTTGTGTATTTTCTAGTGATGTTTTTTCCAGGACTTTTTCTGCAGCTCCCTTTTGTTGTGGTCCTCAGGAAGCAGACTGCAAATCAATCAGGCTGAGACCAGGTGATTGTCTGAGTCAATCAGATATTTCTCATCTTCAGCAAATCTTTCAGCTTTGCTGAAAGATTACATTTTTCTGAGTTTTTAAGCAACTGGCAAAATTGAAGCACATAGAAAGCTTTTTTACACCTTGGGATTTATCCTGTTGGTTTTACCATAAATATTAATAAATGCCAGTATGCTTATTCCAAAAAATACAAGAAATTTTCTTTCCCCTTTCTCTCATTTTCATAGAGGTGTACTTTTGTTTCATCAGTTCACAAAACGTTTTCCACCAGCTCTTCCAGTTTCTACTGTAAATTTTTGCCGACTACAATCTGGTATTCTGTTTTTCAGACTTACTAGAGCTTTGAATTTCAATCCTCTGAGGCTCTGCTCATGCAGGACAAATGGTTTTCTGGTTATTCAAAAGAATTGTACTCCTTGGTCTAATAGGTTCTTTGCCATTTTGTAGTATTCTTGTGACTACTCACTTTTCTGGATGTACCTATAACTGGCTGATCCATTTTCAGGATTATTGGCTGGCTATTATTAGCTTCTCTACTTTCTTTACTTGAATGATCACCTTTCCCCCCTTATACTAAAAAATACACCCACCTCAACAGAATGGTAGTTCAACTCTGAGACATACAGCACCCAAGAAAAATTACTGACCACTTATCTACTTATTTTTGAATTGTTGCAATCAGCGCACTACGCCTCTGTGGCTATCTCTTTCAAACACTTCTTTCAGTATTGAAGCACTGAAATTACAGGTGAGTCATGACACTTTATTATATCATCTATTATTTTATTTCAGATTTAATGTGCCTAATGAGGCACAAACCCAATTGAATAAAAATTCCCGGTGCAGTGTAACAGAGCGGACACACTTCATATAAAACTCTCACTCTATGGATTTCAAGCCTAAAACCTAAAACCTGCTTTATCACTTTCCCTGCTACTTTATTCTTCTTCTGACCTTTATGCTTGTTTGTAGGAGCTATCATTTAATCAGCTTAGTCTCATAATGCAAAGTAAGATTCTGCAGTTTTGCAAAGCTAATTTCGTAACAAAGAGTCACTGATGCCTGGAGCAGTGAATAAACATTTGAGAGAGACACTCCTGTGTATCTCTTTAATTACTATTCTGTTTGATAAAATAAATGCTGCGCGTCATCTCTCTACCATGAAATGAAGTGCTTTTTGAGCCTGTGTGGAAAATGTGAAGGTTTACTTTGGATAATTTCGCTAGAAATAGGTCATTACTGCTGGCAGCCTCGTGCAGAAACAGAGTGCATGATGAACCAGGTGTTTGAGAGCCACATTACAACCTAGGATAACCCCTACAGTATATAGATGGTAGTTGCTGCAATTTAAGTGCTTGGTTTTGAGGGAACATTAACTATTGCCTGAACAACTGGCCCTGTGACAGCTTCTCAATTTCTCAGTTAGGCACAGTGTGCCATAACCATAAGCCACTAGGGCATCCCACATTACACAGATGCTCACAATCACACTGTTTAGCAACTTAAACTATCAAAACTCTAAGAAGCAAGAGGGAACACAGATAAAATTGGGCACACTTAGCTGAAAAAACTCATCTTTTCTCTATATGTTTTTAGTTGGAGCACTTGGAAGTTTCACATTAAATACAGAAGTTACTCTTGGCTGTGGCCTTATTCACAAGGGGTCACCACAGTGGGTAACTCCGTGTATTTGATTTGGTAGCTTTTTACACCATATGGCCTTCCTCACACAACCCCAAAGGAATTAGTGCGAAATACAAAAAAAGATCCTTAATTATAATTTCAATAATTAAATGACTTTATACTTTAAAACATGCCACTTTACCAATGCATTCCGGTAATGGTTTGTCCCACTGGCCCACCGGCTGGCAGGTGAGCACCGAGGAGCCGAAGAGGTAATATCCAGGGTTGCAATCGTAGAAGACGACGCTGCCGAATGTGAAGTTACCGTGCTCAATCTTACTTTCCCGGATCGAGTTGGCAGGAATACCTGGATCCGTGCAGTTAACCACTGCAAGAAAAAAACCCCCAGAAATGTAGTCATGCCCTGCTTCTTTCCTCAAGCAGATTGTTCATAATGGAAGAACGCAGACAGTCGAATATTGATAGCAGTCCAATTAATTTTTATTGCTTCAAGGATATTTCAGCCAAGATAATTTTAGCCAAATCACCATTGGAGCTGCATAGCTGAATAAATACTTGTTGAACTAAATGTTGAAAAAAGGGCGTTTTGCCCTTTCCAAATACTCCTGTTGCCCTGAGTGAAATCGTATTACGCCTGTTTATGGATTCAATTTATAATCTTTATCCTTTTCATCATAAGTGTGCTGTAATCATGTAGTAATGGCTCCTGGCAAACCTTTCACACACATCCTTTAATGATCCTTTTTCGAAGATCATGTAAATAATCTTTGGATGCACATCTTTTGAAGACTGTAATATTTACATAAGCCAAAGTTAATATTCATTTCTTGGCAACATCTCCATCTTGAATATGTATGATCTCTGTACATGTGGTTGCTATGGCACTGAGATGTGTATAATCATGCCAACGCACTGCAGGAGATGAATTATAACATGCAGTCATTCTTAATTAAACTATAATACCACACTTTACACAGCTAATTCACAGTGACGGTTTCGTCATAGATGAATGTGTAATGTGTTTCCTGGTTCTTTTGCCTATATTGGATCTACCGTGGTCACGAATTCTGTGAGTGTGAGCCGTATTTCATGAACATCTATTTTACTTTAACATGTCACTGAATGTTACATCAACACATTCTTATTTTGCAGCAGTTTAACTCTTCCCAGGTCTCATCACTCGGGCTGCTTCTGGAAGACGTGAAGTCTTTTTGTCTTTTGGTTGGAGCTTGGTTTCCGTAATCGCTGCCTCTCAGTATGCTCACATGTGAGTTAATAATAGAACTGTTGATGTGACCTAATCACTGGCTTTTTCTGTTTGTTCTGCAAACATGAAGACAAGAGAGCACAGACTATATTTGGCATTGTCAATAATAATTTCACCTAACGCTTGAAAAAAAACAAACCCAAAAACACACTGTCACAAATCCACAAGCATCTATTTTGGAAGCAGTTACAGTTACAGTCCCTAAAACCACACTGCTGACAAGACGGTTCACTCAACTGAATGTAGACGAGGGTGAAATTAAGTCCAAAGCAACATCAAGGTTAATCAATAATGCAAATGCGACAAAGCTGGCATAATGTAAGAAAATTTTAGTGGGAACAAACAAGCGGATTTTGACAAAGGGAGTCATGACAGTTTAATATCATCTCACTCTATCTTTCACCAGTTCCATCTCTGCAGTGCCATTTGGAGTAATGAAAACTGTGGCTCTTCATATCTAATTGCCAACAAAAAGCATGCCAAGAGGAGAGGTATTTTTAAATGGGCAAAGCCTGGCAAATCTAGTTTTGGTCCACTAGGTAGGAGACCAATTAAAACAACAGTGGATACTACTTAGATGCATTTCTCTAATTTGATGAATTCATGATGTGTTTTCTATCTTCTTTTCTGTGAATTTTTAAACTAGTTTACACCATTTAGTACCTATTTACACCGAAACAAAGATTCTTCTTGGAAGCAGAACACATTGCTAATGAGCCTAACACAGGCGAACTACAATTGGTCACAACTTAAAAAAACAAACAAACAAAAAAAAACAACCTGACACACCCAATAGGATCTCTCCCACTGATTGCAGTCTGAGCTTTCTTGCCTTCAAAATAATCTCTCCCTGCAGCGCGGGGAGAAACTAGCTGTAAAACCGTAGAAACAATTTCCCAATTATAGTCCTCTTTCCATACATTCTGCTGTAAGCTCATTATTGCTGTTTCTCTTCTTTTTTTTGCTCTGAGGCTTAGGCTCCAGATGTTGCCGCCTAATGCTCTGCCCAGAGAGCGGAACAGGTAAGATCTGCTCTCATTCAGATCAATAGATGTCTGAGCTCCTCCTCTACCCATTCTGCTTGTTTCCCCATTGCCTGTGCTGCTGCAAGCTGGCTGCTGATTGCTGAATGATCATGATACATCTGCTGGCTGCTGAATTCTTGTGGTTTTCCCTGCTTCAGACCTGAATAATCACAAAGCTCCTGCAGAAGCTAGTGGGACCAGGCTGTATTCCATTTCAGCTTACTGGCAGCTGCCTGTTCAAATGATAAACCTTCTAGCCTCTGTTCTATGAAAAAATTAAGAAATTTTCTTTTGCATGTATATGCTGCAGGTGTTCTGTGGCTGGACCTTACCCCTGCAAGTTGGCGGCTGGTGGCTCCACTGACGGTTGGCCTGGCACTGAGCTGTGGAGGGTCCTTCCAAGGTGTAACCTTTGTTGCAGGAGAAGTGCACCACATCATTGTAGTTGAAGCCATCGCCTGTGGTGCGGCCATAGATAGGGCTACCAGGGTGGCCGCATGTGACAGCTTGAGTTGAAGCACATCACCCAGGTAACATGACAACAGCAGGCGTGAAAGAGGAAAATGACAAATAAAAGGCAGCAAAGAAGGGTTACAAAGAAAATGGAAAGGAGAGGAGGTGAGACAAATACAAAGTGGGTGGGAAAACAGAGAGAATAAGGTAGAGAGAGAAAATTCAATAAGAATGATCGAGGTCATGTACAGTGACACCTATCACAGAAGAGTCATTATCATACAATGAACCTCGGAGGGCAACGGGGGAATTAGAAGTCAAGACATGATCTCCACTGTGAAAGGGCAAACAGCACATTTTAGAGCATCAATAGGCGAATCAGAGATTGAAACAAATTACAAGGTTACGTATCGACTAAGGACTGATTTCTGTGTTTGCCAAATAAGAAGTGGAGTAAGACACTCTCAGCTTTGGAACAGCATTATTACTTTATAGAAATATGTTATATCTTAATGGATGCTACAGCAAATCTTTATTTATTGATCTGTGTTCAACAGTACAATTAAATCATTGTGTTTTTGGCTAAACATGTCATGCAAATATATATATTTGCTATTCCTTATAAAATAATCAAATTAAATCCTTATTATTTAAAAAAAGGAGAAAAAACAAATGGACTTAGAATAAAATATTCATTTAATTGCATTGCATTATTTTCCCCTGTGCAGGAACGCCTTCTTCTGTCATATTTCTAAACAACATGGGTCAGCAGAGGAGCCGATGAGACACATTTGAGCATTTCACCATAGACAGGATAGCTTGTAAGGAGCTTTTATTCATTTGACTGTATTGTGCTCAAATTTTCATGCAAACAATGCCTGCCATGCCTGCGACAAGCAATCAACACTGAGGCAGGAGGCTGTGTTGTCAGACACTCACGTGAATTAAACGCAAAGAAACCTGTCCATCTGAATTCAGATTTACACCCCCAAATAAATATATATATATATATATACATATATTTAAATTGCAATCAAACACGATTGTGTTAGAGTACTTACGGATACACACTGGCAGATGTCCAGACCAGCTGTGGTCTTGCTGACAGATTCGTACTGAGGAGCCAATGAGCCTAAATCCAGGGTTGCACTGGTAAACCACCGTGTCTCTGTAACCATAGTTTTCTCCAATCACCTGTCCATTCACAATCTGCTCTGGAACGCCACAATGACCGGCTGTAGGGTGGTGGAAAAAAGAATACAATAAATATGTTTATTAAATATTTACACATCTTTCTCAGACAGACCAATCGATTCTTCAGCATCAGTCATAGAGATTTATAAAACTCTGATAATAAGGAGGCTCAGTTTTTGCTTTTCCTCAATCATTCATGTGGTGCTTCAGTGCTCGAGTTCAACTTTCTATCATTTGTATGTGTTGGAGAATGAAAAGCCTCAAGTGGCTCCCGCTGAACTGACAAATGATAGCTGCAGGGTGGAAACACGATTTTAATTGTGTTACCATGTTTGAATAACTTTAACAACACTATCATAAAACGACACGACTAAATTGGTCTTTTTAAAGATCTTGGAATTATACTGTGGTCCAACAAAACCACTTAGAGTATTAGCTAAACATATTGGAATTTGGAAAGCATTTTTCAGCTCATTATCTCTGAGTTTCCATTTCTAAATTTGTATAATCAGCTGCACTTGTAGTGATAACTTTGCCGTCCTCATCGACAGTAGACAGAGAAACGCATGTGAAACTTAAAATCTGCGCAATATGCTCATGCACATAATCGTATTACGTTCAGCTACAATAAATCCCTTTCAGAGAGCAGGAATCTTGCTGAGATTTGCATTGCCACTTAAAACCTGGGATATTGCCCCTGACTGTGAGTCTGATTTCCCTAATTCACTCCTGCACCCAGAAGCTCAGCCGAGCATTTTATTATCACACTCTATTTGAGAGCAGCCAGATTCTGTGAAGATCGTGCTGAAGTAGGCAACTATCCCGAAAGGTCCCTGGCTATGTTAACCCTGTCAGTCATATCGCTAAACAAGCTAAAGGTGCCCTCCTTCTAATGAACTGAACCAATCTTGAGCTGAGCTGGGACTGCTCTGCAACTCTGCCGCTAACCGACTAATATAATACATCTGTGAGGCAAATATTCACATTCTGCTGTTGGGCAGGACTGAATGTACAGAGCTGTGATGAGCCATGCTAAGCTAAGCAGTAGCATGCTGTCCCTGTTTATACAAATTCTACTAGTGCAGCTTAGCAAGTGTTTTACATTTTGACAGAAGCTGTGGCTCTTCAGCTGCTCTCACGTTTCAAGTTTCACAAGGACAGGATTTACTTTATACTCTACAGAAACCTGCTCCAAGCACTTTTAACAAAGGTTTTTGATAAAAGTGCTTGCACATATGCCTTAGAGACCATCTTCTAATGGGATCACACCATAACAAATCCATCAATACAGTGCTGTGCAAAAGTCCTCAGCGAAACCTAATATCTTTATATTTTGCTTTTGAAGACTCAGAGTTTCTTGTAATGTTTGAAGTGGTCTTGAGCAAGTAGCTTTCCAGGTTTTCTGAAGGTCTTTTAAAGTTTTACTTTGGACACATTTTCAGCCCAGTCCTTGGACCTGACCATTTTCAGAGGGATGGGTTTTTTTTTTTCTTCTTAATCCATTTAACACTGACCTGTGACTTATCCAAAAAAAGCACCAAACTTAAGTGATGAACCAGTGTTGTGGGTACGCATAACATAACTTATCAAAGAACCAATCTTAAATTGCATCTTTAGGCACCGCGTTACTAGCAGTCTATTAGAAAAACACAACATTTCTTCCCATTTCCTTAACAGAATCTATAAACAATAAAAGTGAAAAAGAACACAGTTTGATTGTATTTTTCAACCAACAAAGTGATTCCCAAAGCTATTAATCAAAAACCCGCAAAAAATGCGCCTCCTTAAGAAATCAGGAAAAAAATCCAAGACCTGAAAAAGGACCTGAGTGTTGCATATAGCCCTTCAGTTGATCCTTCTACTGTTTGCAAAACCTTCATCAGAAATGAAGTGGCTGTCAGGAAGCCACGAAACAAAGAGCAAAGGCTTAGGTATACCTTACTTGGCATTTTCTATTCAAAGCTGCTTAATTTTTCAGAATGAGACTGATCAACAAACACACTGCTAATGCAGTAAAAGCATACCTGGATAGAAAAACACACAGTGGAACGCTATCAGAAACCCGGAGAACTACTCCTGAAGACTATTCAAAGAAATGACAAGAAAGCATGCCTAACAGAGTTCAGACTATGATGAAGAATAATAATGGATTGGATTTATATAGCGCTCTTCAAGGCACCCAAAGCGCTTTACAACACCACTATTCATTCACTCTCACATTCGCACACTGGTGGAAGCAGCTACAGTTGTAGCCACAGCTGCCCTGGGGGAGACTGACAGAAGTATGTTTTGTATGTATGTTTTACATATTTAATTAAATCACTACACCCATTTTCAATTTCATTGCAAAATGTAAAGAAACTCAAGACTTCTCAAGGCAACACTGTACACTGATATTTATCCCTTGAGTATCTACCGATCACTCGGATCATACTTTAACTGTTGAACTCAACTACAGTTATCTATTTGTTCCACCTTGCACTGTTACTCTGTTCTGGTATCAGCGTCTTCACAGACTAACACGCAGACTCACAAAGTTAATATATTTTACACCATCGTTGGTAGTAAAAAGCAAATTTGACCTCATAATCTCTACAAGGTCTGAAACAGTCTGATGTGTTCCAGTGGCATCACTGAGTCGCAGCACGATGACAAACATGGTATCATCAATGATATCGTCTTAATGCTTTACATTTATTTGCCAAACACACTTGGCAACAGAGGCAATTATAGCCACCCTCTGCTTCCCCATCTGGTTTTATTCTGGACATGTTTGCCCAATCAAAAAAAAAAAAGAAAAGAAGAAAAAACCCAGCTCATACTCTGCCAAAGCAGAGTGCCAGCAGTTTTTGACCTAGGTCAAGGATGTGCTTAAAAAGTTAAAGACAACATGTAAACCTGGCTTACCCAGGCACTGAGTCTCCATTCCACTCCAAAGGCCAGACAGGAGACACTCTCTAACTGTAGATCCAGTTAAAACATAGCCAGGGTTACAGCTGAAAATGGCTGATGCTCCGAAGGTAGTTTGGGTCCCAATTTTCTTCCCATTAGGAGGAGTGGGAAGATCGCCACAGGAAATGACTGCAAAGAGATGAAGAGTAAGGAGGAAAAGAAAAGGAAGAGCAAAAAGATGAAGGAGGCACCGGGAGAATGAGCAAGAGAGAACAAGAGAAAGAATAAAGAGATAGAAATTGGCTTACATCTTCAGAGTCAATGGGAGAGCACAGTCATTTACGCCCATCTTGCCAACCTTAATGCGTTAAAAGAGTGACCTGTACCATTTCATGGGGAGGATAATGATGGTTTGCCTTTGTCCCACCATCTTTCATCATGTTGGCTAGCATCACCTTTTCACGTTACACTACCCATTCAGCTTTTAGCTTCTCTAAAAGTAGTTCCCATGGCAGCGATGAAAAGCTTTTATTTCCGATTCTCGTAATAAACAATATCTAACCTAAGCTGAGACAGCAATAGGTGAGGAGCACAAAAGTGAGTCTTTGAGCTGGTGATTAACTGAGCTGTGAATAAGGTATTCATTCTTCAAGTCTCGTAACCCCCACATTCTATGAATCTAGTGTACTCAAGGCAAGGCGGGACATGGATTTTTCAATTTGGCTCAATGACAATGCTAAAATGCTTTCTATTCCATTTATTCAATGAATCGACAGACGTGCTCAGCGAGTTTGTGAAGTGGCATTTCGTGCTACGTGTCTGTCCGATGAATGATGAATGTCTTTTTTACAAGATAATGCGAGAATGAACCACAGGAAAGCGGAGTTAATTTCTGGGAATATTATTCTTTTGGCTCAGTTCTACGTTCATCCCGTTTCATTTTTTCCTTTCCCCACTTGTGAATTTGTGAGATGCACAAGCGCTGCATATTTTGTGTTGCTGCAACCAAAGTCACTCACTTCTACACCGAGGCCTCTCGTTCCTCCAGCTCCACACTCCGTTTGCGAGGCACTGGATGTGGGCGGGGCCCACACGATAGTATCCAGGGTTGCAGGTGAAGATTATTTTCGTCCCATACTCATAGTGCGAGCCATTGACAATCCTCCATTTCCCGTGATCGAGGGAAAACGGGCTAAGACTGGGGCACGGCATCACTGAAAAAAAATAATAAAATAAGAATTATTTTATGGGCAGTTACTACGGGAGTTTTGGATTATTCCAATGGATTGACTTTTGTATAATTTTTTTATCCCTTATGCACACACCGCAAAGCAGCAGCATAAACTAATCCATGTGTTGCAGTTATACAAATGTTCTTCCACAACAAAGCTATTTATGAATTGGCACTTTCTAAAACCAAATGAGTTTCAAAACAAACTCTGTTTCCCTTTTCACTGTGAGACACATATACAGCAGGGAATAAACAGTGGTCTCAATAGAAAACAATGCTGTCAATCACTCCCTGCACTGACTTTCAAACTTGGAGGAGTTGCACTGGCATGTGAAAAGACTTACCCAGCGCCAGCTGCAGAGATCCTTTCAAGCATTATTCCCCCTTTTGTCCATGCATCTTATCATGATCCAACAAGTTGGGATTTTTGTAAGGAAACTGCAACTTGCATGTTTTTATGACAGCAGTCCTTATTACATTAACTCCTTCCATTGCCGTCCAATTTTGGAGAAACCTGTTTTGATATTTTACCTGCTGTTCAGACGATCTCAAACTCCAACTTGTACTGCCTCCAATTAAAGAACAAAAAACCCCAAACTGTGTCTAATAGCTTTATCTTCTTTTGGCTCTCATATATTTGGCCACCTTTGAGTGGAGGCAACAGACAATATGAAAATTTTTAAATGTTTTTATGAACAGAAAAAAAAAATCCTGCAAGGTTTTTTTTGCAACCTCATTTCTCCAAATCACTATTTTCTCCTCTGCGCTCCCCTCCCCTTCCATCTTTCCAAGGCTTCCTCTCTACTCACCAAAGCATCGGGGTATCTTGTTGTGATTGCTCCAGGTGCCGTCTGGCTGGCAGACTGTGGTCGTCAGCTCTTTGGAGAGCCGGTAACCGCCGTTACAGAAGTAGGTCGCCCGTGTGCCGACGGAGTAATCAGCAGTGAGCACACCTCCGTTCGCTGGCGCATTGGGCACACCGCATGACACAGCTGCAGGCAGCAAGAGGACAATGGTCGACCCACATGTTTATGCACAGTACAAGAGACATACTAGATAGATGCCTGGTGAACACAGGTATGGTAGGCATTCATATATAATCACTATTTTTCAATTTTGCAAAGAAAAATATACATGTTTGTGCTCCCACCAGTGCAACCTCTTTGTGGTGCACTAACTGTGTGGAATTTTAATTTATTGTTACATTTTTATTAGCTTTTCGAAGGGTGACAGCCTTAATATGTAGGAGTCCAAAAGAAAGAATTTAACATTTAGTACTCAGAAGGTTCCACACCTACCCAGTGTACATTAGAATTATAATGTAAGAACCCTTGTGGTACACTGACACTTAAATTATTTGATTGATGTGCATATTATAGACCTCTTAATGCACAAGACTGTACTTTCACTTGGCAGAAATCAAAGAAATTAGGACTGACCACTTGTGGAAAATTGCATTCGGCTGTCTCAGAGTGAAAGTATTCATACTGCAGGGAGGTTATGAAAATTGAAGTCCCACATAAATATTGCACTGTTCTTATAAGAAGGTATTCAAGAAAGAAGTCATCTGAATGACCAAACAGCTATTCAATTATGCCAAATTATACAAAAGTACTTAATAATTAAAACCTCTTATTTTCACTGTGACTCAGTGGGGAATCTAAAAACACACTAATGATGTATAACAAAGTCATTAAAATGACAAGTGCAACCAAAAAAGTGACTGGTTCCAACACCAACTGTTCCTGACATGCAGGCGTACTCGAATGTGCCGAAAAACTTCTGCACAGCATTGTGTCCTTGGAAGTAAGTGCAATGTTAAACTTGCACAGAGCTCAGACCAAACAAAACACTTGAAGAAAGAGACTTTAAGGTGCTCATCATTGGGTCGGACACACTGAACTGAGCCAGGAAACCTAACATCTGAAGGGCCGAACTAAACAGAAACGGTTATGCAAAGACACATATCTAACCACAGAGCTGCGATGATAATTGCATACTGTGAAGCATCAAAGGTAGGAATCTGCCAACGTGGCATGGAGCCATTACAATGCCCGTCAACACCGTGCGAGATAATCAATTGACATTCATCTGAGTACTGCTTAGTTGTAACTTGGCGGATACTAATCAAAACAACTAAAAAGTTTTCCACACTGCAGATGAAAAATGTTGGTGTTTGAAGTGCGATCATCAAAGCTTAGGTGGTTAAAGGGCCTGGTAATTATTTTGAGCCTTTGCTCTTTCTATGAGCAAAACTGATGGATTAATACACCGTGGATTCTCCGAGGTATCCTGCTTCAGACAGAATGAAAGCTTGAACATGCTGTAATGTGATCTTGGCCACTGCATAAAATAACAGATGGACAACATCTGTATGAATGTATCAGTTCATCTGCAGCCAAAGTTGAGTTTGTGCTTTGGAAAAGCGGTGTGCAATTAACAAACTGATGGAATCAATCACACGTGTGAAGTGTTTTTAAATCATTTAAAGTACATGACATACATATTTTCATTTCACTGCATCTTGATGAAATGCAATTGAGCACACCATCTGTTGATATTAATGCTGCCTGAGCATGTGTATATGTGTGTGTCTGTGCTAGCGCATGCAATCATGTGCACGTAAATGCACATATTCCACGTATGCACGCTGAAGAACCCAATTAGTTGAGTAAGGCAGAACAGCAGAGGACATTGCATCCTAATGGCAAGTTAGCCAAAGTAATTCGAAGAAGTGGAAATTGACAGAAGAAGGGAGGATTGATTTCTTTTTCCTTTCCACCTGACAGGACTCTGGGCTCTCAATCAGCCTGGTTTCAGTTCAGCTGCTAACAACACAGGAAGAGGGCTTGGGCTCAGACACTTAGGTGCTTTAAGCGCCTGCCTGTCTGGCTGTTGAGACTAAGGGTACAGAGGCAGTGACCAGAAGAATGGGTAGAGAGGCAGGCTAAAGGAGGAAATAAAAGCATGCCAGAGCCAATGAGCTCACCTTGACATGCAGGAACTGGCGCGTCCCAGGCGTAGTAGCCATAGGTGGTCTTCTTGCACACAGCTGTGCCCTTTCCAATGAGCTTGTACCCCCTGTCGCAGGCCCAGCGCACCACGCTGTTTAGATGACCCCCGGTCTGGCTCACTACAAAGCCATGTTGTGGAGAGTCTGGAGTACTGCAGTACATGGCTATGATAGAGGAGAAAGCAGGGGAGGGGAAGTGGGGAAAAAAAGAGCAAAGGCAAATAGAAGAGAGAGCCAAGAAAGAAGGCGAGGATGAAGTCGAAGAAAGAAAAGAGAGAGAAGGGTAAATAAAGAAGAGGAAAGGATGAGAGGCATTAGCAAAGCACCTCTAGAGAAAAACTGATGAACATTTTTCGTTACAGCGAGGCTCCATTTTCAATGCAGAACAATAATGAGGGGGGAACCGCCCGAGGAGTGTCACGTCTATTTAGAACTTGGGCTATGCACCACGCAGCAAAGGAAGCCCTCACCTATCACATTATTACCATCCCATTTTGGCTTATGGGCATGCACATATTCAATTTGCTTTTAACACATGCAGCGTTGGTGCATTCTGCATTTGTTCCCATCGCCTTCCTTCCTCCGATCTTACAGTCCATTGAACACAAAAAGGTAAATTCGATTTCTCGAATATGACCATCTCATGGCCCATGTGACATAAAAAGCTGAGGGAGGGAGGGCTGCGTGCTTCAAAAAACGCTGTCAACCATTCCCTCAAATCAACATGACTTGGCGATAGCAGGGATTTAAGACGAAAGGACACATGCTGGAGTTTGAGTCAGTTCCCATTAAAGTCAATCAAGTCAAGGAGGAGCTTTCCTTACAAAATTCATCACACCAACTTGCTTTCACAGGAACACTCTCGTGCATTAAAGTTAATGGACAGACACCATGAAAAATGAATGTCTTTTGTGCTTTTTTTGTGTTGTTATTGATGCATTTCAAATGAAAGAAAAGATCGCTATGCTGCTCTTGCTTAGCAGCACTTGCTTTATTAAAGAGCCAATTAAGAATTCAAGCCTTTTGTAATTTTAGACATGCAAAGCTGCACGCCGCCCTTTAGTGACTGGTTTCCAGCCTCGTGCTTTTTTTCCCCGTGAGCGCCTATTGCGAGCTATTACCTATGGAAATTGTTTTTGGAAACTGACTGCATATTAAAAAAAATAAATAAATCAATAGAAAACACAGCACACAGTGATAAAAATCCTTGGGTCATATTGTATTCACGGCCATTTCAAGTAGCTACAGCTGAGGTTCATACACATCTGTCTCTGTTTAGTGTTATTACATTTTCAACTGTCCAAATTGTAGACCCATGGCTCTAATCACTCGTCTGCAGGTCAACATAAAATAAAACCAAATAGCATAGTAAAAAAATAGAGAATGATTATAAACTGGATACATACTTTGATACTCACCCACATATCTGATGTGGAAGCCGCGGCGGTTGGTGCCATGGTCGGAGGACCAACGCAGGAGGAGCTGGTGGCCTGTGGTGTTCAGGCTGAAGGGTGTTTCAATATCACCACTGAGTGATGAGAGGCTCTGACTGTAGATGTTGGGACCTAAAGGCAATGACAAACAGCATGTGTGCTAGTGGCTGATGTTCTATTAGGCGATTGCCTGTTTATAATTTCAGTAATTTATTAAAAAACAAAAGAACACAAAGTTTTTTACCCACCATCAAAAATTTCCAAGATGTCAAACTCTTTTTCTGTCTGGAAGAGTTCAAAGTGCAAAGTGATGTTGTAGCCCTTCTCCACGTTGATCAGCCAGGAGCACATCTGAAGATTGGGGTAGTTATCAGGATAGCCCGGGCTTAAGATTACTCCTGTTGAGTCAAAACGGACCTCGTGGGCCGGGCATTGGACTGGTGGGAACAGAAACAAAATAAAGGTGAGATTGTTGGAGGAAAAAGAATTGGCAGAGAAAATGAGAAGAAGCAACAGAGGGTGGAAGGAAGATGAAAAGTAGCGGCAGAAAACGAGAGGCAGAGGAAAAAATTAGAGATGCAGTAAGACATGGATGAAGGGAAGATAGAGATGCTTCACTGTGACAGTAGAAATGATATTGTAAAAATAAGTAGTCCTGAAACAATTACATTTGAGCCAGAGTGATATTGCACCTTAGGGGTGAGCTTGTGAGTCTGCCGTTGTCACCAGGCTCCCCTGATATCAATCCATCAAATAATACTCAGCAGGTGAGACAGCTAACTTTGTATGGAAAAATGGTGTGTGTGTGTGTGTGTGTGTAGGATTTCGTGTGTATCAGGTCAGAACGTTCCCTTCATTTCCTGTAGGCTGGCATGTCTGAAATAATGACAGTCCTGTTTCTCTCTTTTCCTTTTCTCTGAGTAACAGAAGTTTCTCTTCTGGGCCACTAGTGAAGAAACATGATGCATACAAAAGGTTAATGCAAACGACTGCTCCAGATGAAAAGGTCATTGGAAAGCATCGGACATACATCAGAAGCAGAGAATTGTAACACAAAGCAGTATGAATATTCCCGCTGGTGACTCATTGTTAAAGTTTCAACTGGCTGAACTGCAATAGCCTTCGGCTCAAAGATAACAGGCACATATGATCCCAAAAAGAGCTTAAGCCAGTTATTTTCAACGAAACAATACATTTCTTTAAAAAAAAAAAGAGCTCTCTGTGGGCACAAAGTTCAAGAAGAATTTCTCCATAAATCATCTGAACAACACATATATTAAATGTGTAAATATTTGTACACAGCTAAATCAATATTCATAAATACACTGATGGTATTCATTAGGGTGGCATCAAATCTCAGCACAATCTATTCCGAAAATAAATTAACATAAAAAATTATTGTGAACTAGCAGTCTTTCTTCACTACTATTCTTTGGCTGTTTATAAGACACAGAATCTATATGGTTCTATATTTTTGTTATTTCCTGTTGTGTTTTGAAATATTCCTTCATTTTAACGCATCCTACTTAGCTTAGCGTGGTATATTTATGTGCGCTCTAATAGGCAAAGACAAAGAGCAATGTGTAAATGAATTACTTTAAAAATGTACAACAAGTAGATTGGAATGACATAAAAGCATGCGTTTTGTTTTACAGGGCACAAAAGCATAACTACAAAACCACGGCTCCCACAAGCACTTATTTTTCTCCTCACACCCAGAATGCTAATGCGAACTAAGGGCACATTGCACAGTAGTGGGTGGTGAGTCAGGACAAAGGTCAATCAGTCATATTTGGTCTGTTTTCTATTTACAATTCATTACAAACAGCTATTTAAAAACCTCTGAAGAATGCACACTTCAAAAAGAAATAACACTGAAAACATTTCTATACAGTTAAGTCTGTAGCGCTCCATTTTAACATAAGAGTTATGACTCTCGCTGGAAATATGGAGTTCAATGGGGTCTTTAGTTGATGCAGTTACATCAATTCCTGGTACTATTTGCTCAGCAGCAGCCTCTGCTTTACTGATACCAGTGGTATATTTGTTACAGAGCCTTCACAGTTCCAGGAAAATCATAAAAAACAATTGTTATAAGCAATTTGCTAATTTCAATTCTACAACTTCTTCCTACTGACTACTCTGGAGTTACTAGCCCGAAAACTGTTCATACACTGCACAAATTCCCATTTGCCTCTGGCATTTCCACATGTTGGAGCGCTTTAAGATGCAGACAAAACAGACTCACCTGATAAGATCTAATTCACAGTAAATAGAACAATATAGCTGGTAAGTGCTTGTTATTGAAATAATTGAGCCTCCAATCCTTCTTTATTAAACTAAAGTTGTTGCCAAGCAACAAACACGTCCATCCACTGAGCACAGTTGCGGTTTAAACTGCTTTGCCTGAAACTTGCAGGTAGGGATTAAAATCTGAGTCACGAGAGGCTTCAAAACATTTTAGAAACCACATACTTTTACAGATGCCTTTTATGAAATAGGTTTACAAAATGCATTCATGGTGATTTGGCTCCAGTACAAATGTTGAGCACTGTATCCTACTGTGAGTGATTATAGAGACACTGGCTGAAAAATATATATGTACACTTCTAAATGATCATGAAAAAAAAAATTAATCTAAAATTTATACCATAAATACCAAAAACACTAAATACCCAGTAAACAAAACACAGTGACATATGTTTTCTAATTTAAGAGGCATGTAGCCCTAATTTAACCTACACCTTACCTGGAGTCAGCATTAAGTAGCATGCAGGCTAACATCATTTGTTTAAGCTTAGCCAACAGCAGTTATTATATCTTCCACAGATGTTTTACCTTGTGGAAAACTACAACATTGCTGATTTCACTCAGAAAGTTGCACATATTGAATGCCAATGACACCCAGGGTTATGTATAAACTAATGTCGCACAAAAAAGTTTTGGTACGTATTGCAAAGACGAGGTTAGTGCGTCGTTTGTGTTCCTCAAACATCTATACGAATGTGACAGCAGGCGCAATACGACAACATTTATTGAGTTACACTAAGCCTCAGTGTGGCAGATGGTTTAACCATCGCAGCAGTCAACTCGATGGTGGCTCTACCCTTGATTTAAGAAAATGTTTGACCTTCCTCACAGGCTTTTATAAAAACAGAGCTTGGGGAAATATCTTAAAAGCCAAGCATATTTAGGGGTTAAATTGCATAGCCATACAAGGACATTACAGTGTTATCTTAAAAGCATAAAATTACAATTAACATAGAGGCTGACAGCAAACAAAAGCGGAATACAGAGAGCACATGAGAATTCTTTTTCCTGCCCTTTCGGCAAGCTGTGACAAGAAGTGGCTCCTATGCGAGTTTACTGTGGCAGTCCCTTGGATGTGAATAGCAGGTCAACTCAAATTAAGTTCAACTTTACATGTCCCAAGGAGAGCAATTAGTTTCATGCTAGAGGTGGCACAAAGACATACCATATCCAACACGGTAAGATGAATTCTTGAATATAATGAAAAGGCAATCCATGAAAATGTCACATAATAAATTAGTCACTCTACAGCTATCTTAACTATGCTAATATGACGCTCAAAGCAAGATTTAAGGAGAGTCTGAACAAATGACTTGCAATCACTGACACATTTGAACACTTTAAAGATGTTGATTTAACACCTCTGCAGCTTTTTGCATTGTACCAGAGTATGGGCACATTCTCTTAGCAAAACTAATATAGTTTAGCAAATAGCTTGGTTTAGCTTAGGTGACTAAGCAGATCCACTTTTCTGGCAAAGTACAGTATTTACATTAGATGTTTTATGATGAATGAGAGCATTTGCTGTCCAACACAAAAATATTTTAGCGCTTCTCAAACAGCAATGTGAATTATTGTGTACTACTTGAATAGTCCCAACGTGTTTTGTAGTCAACTGTAGTCGCTCAAATTAAAACCTGTGAAAATATTTTAAGTGCAATGTGTGAATTTCTGATGCTATGAGCTAGCTGCTCTTGGCAGAGCTCTGTGTAGTCAGTAACACATGACAAGGTGAGCTGGCCGACCAGCCTTGGTGAGATGGCTTGAAATATTGCCCAGTACTCAAAAAGTGACTGAATGCCCTCTTTTGGCACTAGCGAAGTTTATCAGTTTATTGATGGAAATCAGCTGTTTTAACATATTGCTTGTTGCTGATACCCTTCATGTTGACATAATGTGATATAAGGACTCATACAGGACATATAAAAGATTTGGTGAAGAGAGATCTATATGCCATACCTACCCTGATGAAATAAGCAATTAAGCTTTGTTTCGCATCCCCTTTATTCCAGCATGTCTAATAAGCTTGTAACATGCTGCTCAACTTCATGCTGCTTGTGCTTTTGTAAATTATTAATATACTGAAAAATGCTAGGTAAGCCCAGTACACCACAAGTGAAGGTGGTTTGTTCTCTTTGCACACAAACACATCTGTCCATCTTAAATAATTCCAACTCAAATGATCATTTTTCAGGTCCCTCACCTTTGTGCCTATGTTAATTGAGCTACCTACTGACAGATGTTTGTGTGGCTGATTTGGATAGAAAAACACAAGAAAATCTGAGCTTTACGTATCTTGGATCAAACAGTTGCTGAGCCTAATCTTTGCTGTTGCTGTGTTTTTATTGTGAAACCTACCAAGTAATAATTTAAAATTAAAGTCAGTCAAATTCTGAACACAGAGTTAGCAGCAAAATCACAGCAGGGAGAAAACAAAGATATCAAGTCAGGCATCAAGTAACAACAGCCAGGGATAAGCAAATAGGCTCCAAATAACTAGTCGTTCTCTACGTTGCTTTATGAATGCAGGCTTGAGGTTTGTCAAGCATCTGTCATGCCTTGATCACAAGTCCGATGCGATTACTCACTGTTTCTAGAAATACAAAGACAGAAATGCTCATCAAGTCAAGACTTGTAGACAAAGGACTTCAGGGCACTTCAAAAGATGTCTAACCACAGGGGATAGAAGGTTTCAGAGTGCTCTGTTGTGTGGAGCAGAGATTTACTGGCACGACAGGGAGGCTGAAGGCATTTGTTGTTTTGTCTAAACAAAATCTTTGATGCAGGCGACAGGAATTTCTTTTACTTTGCTCCTCGTTTGTAATTCCATCTTCAAAAGAATTATGGGTAAGCAAACATCAATCAAACCCATGAGACCGTTACGTAGGGGTAGAATATCTGTTTTTACAGCACGTGAAAACCTGCTGATCTGTAATTGGTTTCAAACTTACCCACTACAGTAAAACTGCTGGTTGTATCCAAATGGCAGTCTATGGACTTGGATCAGTAATATTGTTACTCTGAATCTTGATAAATGGGAATAGAGCTGCTTTGTGCCACCTGGTGCCTGCTGGACGAGGCTCTGCTGGCAGTCTGTCAAATAATGCATCAGTGGGTGCTGCTTACTGTAACCAACCTGAGCACTGTGGTGTCAAGCACCACATAACATAAACAGGTTTGCATACACATATATATGTATGTGTGGGGGGAATGTGTACACACATTGTGAGGAACACTTAAACACACAAACACAAATGCAAAAAAATAAATAAATCAAACACAGAAAAATTTTAAACATACCCAAAGACTCCAAGTCACACTGAATGAAACCAACCTTGACAGACTGGTGGAGGTCCATCCATCTGTAGCCTTTCTCCAAGTCGGCAGGTCAGAATCTCACTGCCCACCAAGGTGAAGCCTGGCTGGCACGTGTACCGAATAATGTCCCCTGTGAGATCATTTACACGTGTAATCGC